TGATAAAAGGACAATGGAAGAACAGAGAACTACATGGGAAATTTAAAACTATAACTGGACCACCAGATGGACTGTGGTTTTTATTTTCACTCAGTGGAACTAGCAAATCTCTGCTATAAAAGGGCCCACAGGGATCCCAGGAGCCCAACTGAATGCTGTTGTATTCTGCATAGGGAACATGGTTTGGATTATCAGAAAGTCCTCTCAGATGCAGGAACAAGGCTGCCTTTTCCAGAATGGGGCTCAGGAAACCCCTAGCCCTCACAGCACCCTACGCAGCACAGGCAGGGACAGTGACAAAGCTGAGACTATGCACCCACAGGATTTCAGAACAAAGCACTTTTATTTCCCACAAAAGAGGGCTGCAGAGCAGCCGTTTCCCTTAGCCAGCGAATTGAGGAATTCTGGCCTCTGAAATTCATTTTGAAAAACAACCCCAACTACTGTATAAGGACCAAATTAAACATATCCTATATATATGTACATCAGATCACTGAAGAGAACAATATGGATTTATATGGACAGGTATAGAAACAATAATAAAAATTTCTTTCAAAAAAGCAAGCCAAAGCCAGACACGATGGTGCACGCCTTTAATCCCAGTATTTGGGAGGCAGAGGCAGGTGGATCTCTGTGAGTTTGAGGCAAATCTGATCTATGTACTGAGTTCTAGGACAGCCAGAGCTACATTTTTTTTTAAAAGGCAAGTTGAAGGCTGGGGATGTGGCTTCGCTGGTAGGGCACCAGTCTGGCATGTACAAAGCCATGGGTTCATTCCTCAGCACCCCATAAAACCCCGTGCAGTGGTGCCTGCCTGTAACCCCTGCATCTGGGAGGGAAGGCCAGAGGAACAGAAGTTCAAGATCAGCCTCAGTAAATTTGGAGGCCAGCTTGGGCTTCATGAGACCCAATCTCAAAAATGCCCCTCTCATCAAAAAATAAGTTGGAAGATATGACAGGGTTGAGGAAGCCACTCAGGGGAAGGGCACTTGCTTAGCATGCCAAGGTCCTGGGTTTGATTGCCAGAATCACCACCTCCCCCTAAAAGGACTACTATTCTGTTTCTGCTTAAGTGTACATTTTTATATACTTGGAATTAAAATGCATTATATATTATGCATGCTCTGGGGAAAATATGCCAAACTATTGGTTACTCCCTACAATGACTGATAGACATTTGGGGACTCATATTTTATTATTTGATTCTTTGAATATTTTTACTATGAATTATTTTAAAAATAAAATTTTTAAAGAGTTGAGTGTGAGAAAACACATGTGTGTTGCATGTCTGTGTCTGTGAGTGTTCATGTGCCTGTGTGTTCATGTGTGTATGTGTGGTGTATTGTGTGTGCTGTGTGTATCTATATGTATGTGTGTGTGTGTGTGTGTATACAGAGGCCAGATGCCAACATCAGGAGTCATCCTCAGCCAATTTCCACCTTATTTTGAGACAAGGCCTCTCACTGACCCTGAAACTCACTGGTATAGCTAGGCTGGCAGGCCCTTGAGCTCCTAAGGTTCTTCTCTCCCCACCCTACCCCACCCCTAGTGCTGGGACTACAAACATGTACCACGGGCCCCGCTTTTTATATGGATGCTGAGAATCTGAATTTAGGCGTCCAGCACACACAGCAAGAGCTTTGCTGACTATGCCATATCTCCAATCCCAGTATTTAAAAAAGAAAATTTAAGTGAGAAGAAATGCTCACATGTTGAATATTCAGTTTTTAAACTGGAAAATGGAGACACCATCTGTTACCAAACCCTCATGAAATTGTCTTAATTAGGAGTATTAATTTTTATTGATTTTCTAGCTTTTAAAATTGTTTTAATAGTTGGGTAGTGATGCTGTATGCCTTTAATCCCAGCACTTGGGAAGCAGAGGCAGGCAGGTGGATCTCTGTGAGTTCCAGGCCAGCCTGGTCTACAGAGCAAATTCCAGGCAGCCAGGGCTACACAGAGAAACCCTGTCTTGAAAAAAACAAACAAACAAACAAAAAAGTTTAAATAAATATGTACCTACGTTTTGGTTTTGGTTTTGGTGTATAGGAGAGTTAAATGCTTTTCTTTATTTTTATCTTTTATATTTTATAGGTATGCATGTTTTGCCTATGTACCATATACATTTCAGATGCCAGAAGAGGGCATTGGATTCCCTTCAACTGGAATTATAGGCAGTAGTGAGCTTCTATATGGGTGCTGGAACCTGAGTCTTCTGCAAGAACAGCAAGTGCTCTTAGCATCTCAACAGTCTCTCCAGTCCCTATCTTTTTGTTTTGTTTTCTTTGTTGAGACAGGATCTCACTTTGTAGTTCAGGATGATCTCAGATTTACTATATAACTCAGGCTAGCCTCAAACTCATAGTAATCCTCCTGCCTCACCTTCCTGGTGGTACGATTATACCACCTTGAAACTTGACAAAAATCAGTGGGCTATAATCTGGAAAGATGAGTCAACAACACTTGCCATGCAAATCTGGTGGCCTGAGTTCGGTCTCCACAACCCATTATGAAAGGAAAGAACCAGCTCCCATAGGTTGTCTGGTTTCCACACGTGTGCCATAGCACACAGGCTCAGAGAGAGATGGGAGATGCGGGATAAAATAAATGTGAGATTTAAAATATTTACTTATAGTGTGCCCAGTGTAATAAAAGGCTACATCAGCAATACTGTTCCAAGGACAAAAACCATCGTTTCTGGGCCAATGTGAAGTAAACTGCTTGCTTTGAACTGTTTAGAAACTGAAAAGCTGGAACCCCTCCTGGATATCTAACAACTGGGTTTAAACTGTCAGGAGGGATTGTTTTCACCAACAATTCATTTATCCTTTTGTGTTATTTACTCACACTTCCATTTATTTTTTTTCCCCACTCAACCAACCAACGACCATTTAAATGTGCACAGCATTTAAGAACCTTAGCTTCCCGGGTACCAGATTACGGGTGAGGCTCACTATGCCTGACTACTGATGGCTCTGTTTAACTCAAGCTAAATTTAATTTTCAGGAAAGGCACAGTGATTATGCTTAGGACTTTGTGCTTCAAACCATGGCTCAACTGCTTACTGTAGAGCACTGGACAAGTTTACCCAAACTCTCCCTGGGCCTTAATCTCCTCGGCCAAAAACTGAGGACAGTTATACATGGCATCTGATTCAGATTAAATAAGCCAATAACTATAAAACACTGGGTGGAGGAGGAAATAGAAATAGAAATAGAAATGCTCAATAGAAAAAGCATTTGCCACACAAATACAAAGTTTGGCTTGATCCCAAACACCCAGTTTAATTAAAAAAAAAAAGCCAGGGGCCAGGTGTCAGGTTTGGTGGCAGCACACACCTTTGAGCCACTCCTCTGAGTTCAAGTCTAGTCTACAGGGTAAGTTCCAGGCCAACCAAAGCTACAGAGAGACCTTGCTGAAACAGAAAGCCACGTTGGAATGAGTAAAAGCACTAGCTGCTGTACAAATGACCCAAGTTCACCTGGGTGCCGTCCCTCGAAACCAAAAAGCCAGAAAGGGTGGCGTACAGTGAAGCCCAGCACTCCTGCAGCAAGGAGGGGGCAGAGAGGGAGAACATGCCCGAAGCTCATGGCCCAGCTACACTGCATAGTGGCAGAACCAAGAGAGACCCTGCCTCAAAAAGGCAAAAGTGAGAACTAATTCCTAAATGCAATTCTCTGATCTCCACGCAAGCAATTATAACATATAGCCAGCCAGGAAAGCCTACTTGGGATTTCCAGGCAAGCAAGAAATCTGCCCCTCCCCCCAAAAAAGGTAGAGGCTAGAGAGATGCCTCAGTATTAAGAGCACTGGTTGCTCTTTCAGAAGACATGGGTTTGATTCCCAGAACCCACATGGCAACTCACAACCATCGTAACTCAAGTCCCAGGGAATCAGGGGCTCTCCTCTGACTTTTGTGGGCACTGCATGCACACAGCATGCAGACATATAAGCAGTCAGAACACCCATATACTTAAAATAAAAAAATAAACTAAAAATGAAAGAGGGACAGCACCCAAGACTGGCCTCTTGCCTCCCGATGCACGCAGCATATGCACGCTGTTTTATGATCACGACTCAGCACAGAGGGAGTGTTCTGGAATCAGCAGCTTCTGCTGCTGTAATGGGTGGGGGCTGTTAGTCTGTTTTCATCCAGATACAGCGAGGACACCGTGGCTCTTGTGAACGCCAGCCTGAGAGAATTCTCCCTGTTCCCGGAAACCACGTGCCCCAGTGAATGTGAAAATACCTGACCATGTCTTTCACTTTTGATGCCGAGTTAAAGGTCTGGGAGCTTGAGGAACACAAACAAACAAAGCCTGAGTCTTGCCAAGAATGGACTTTTCGTGAGAAGTTGGGGGAGTTTCCAAAGAAAATCTGTGAGAGCTAGGGGCTGATCTGGGATGACTGGAACTCCAGAAAAACACCGGGCACCCTTAGAACCGTTCAAACTTCTGGACTTAATCTCTGGGAACTCTCTGGTTAACCAGGACTGTTAATAGCTACCCAGTACTGCTTGTGTAAGAAATAACTGTGATAGTGGCTGAACGCTGTAAAACCACTTAAACCTACAAGGAAAATGCTAGAGAGCCTGTGCTACAGGCTAGGTGGGGGAGGGGAGGGTGTGCAGAAGAAGTAGGAAGAGCCTGGCAGCCCTGGCTTCCTAGCCCGGGGTTCAGAAAAAAGGTAGATAAGACAGACCTGGCCTGACACAAGCCTCCTAGTTAGTCAAAGAGTGCCAGTGGCAACTCCAGTAGGTGTCCCATCTCAGAAGCCCAAATGCCCCAAGCATCCGGCCCACCCAGGCTCTCCAGCACCAAACCCCAGGCCTATTCTCCTCTAGGGTAAACCTGGCCCCTTTGTGCCTTCCAAACTGCCCCACCCCCAACTCATACACCCCCACCAAACCCTACTGGGGCCTTCACAGGTTACCAGGAATCCTGCTAATGGCCACATTTTATAGATGAGAAAAAAAGTTTCCAAGCTGGGAATGAACTTACCCAAGGCATCAGAGACTGACGAGAAGCCATAGCAGGATTCTACCACAGATCTACCTGGATTCAAGTATCTATTGATAAAATAGGATATGAAAAATAAAAGAACTGAGGGCGGGGGCCGCGGGGAAGGCCTATCAGTCTCTCTTATTGTAGAGCCCGGCTTTACTTTAGTGTGGGAGCGCTCCTCTAAACTGAAACCAGCTTCAAGGTCAAGTAATAGGTAAGTGGGTAGCAGAGGAAACCTCAGGGCCTCCTCCCTCACATCCTGCAGAGGAAGCTGTTCCCTCCTCCACGATCCCAGCCCAGTCTTTTTTTTTTTTTTCTGTTCAGGTTTTGGATTTGATTTCTCATTGTTGGTGGTAGTTTGTTTTGTTTTGTTGTTGATGATAGTACTGGTGGTAGTGGATTTTATTTATTTTTGAGATGGGGGGGGTCTTGTATTGACCAGCCTGGCCTCCAACTCTACATACCACCTCCCCAGTGGTAGAATTACAAGTGCGTGCACGTGTGTGTGTGTGTGTGTGTGTGTGTGTGTGTGTGTGTGTGTGTGACCATGCCCAGTTCGTTAGCTCTCTTAGACAGAATGACTGTAATGAACGGCTGAGCTAGGGGAATGTGTGACCTGCTTCCATGTGTATCCTATTATCTAGACCGGCCCAGCATGCTGAGGGGTGAGAACTGGATCCACTCCACCAGCATCCAGCCTGGCACTTACAGGGCCTCATCAGAGGCTGATGGCCTGGGGAGGGGACACTGTCTATTCCTCCAGTCCCTCCCAACTCTGGGGGTGAACCCTGCAGGATGCAACCCTGTAGGAACAGAAGCCCCCACGTCACTTGAGAAGCATCCTCTTCCCTCCCCTTTCTTTGCACCCAAACCCTAACTCCACAGATTCTCCAGATGTCAAGTTCAGATCAGAAAAGGGTCAGGCCTAGCTTAGTGGCCCTTGCCTTTACTCCCAGTGCCTGGGAGGCAGAGACCTGTGGATCTCTTTCAGTTCTGAGATCATCCTGGTCTACACAGTGGATTCTGGGACAGCCAGAACTACATAGATACTCTGTCTCAAAAAAAGCAAAACAAGATAAGAAAGGAAGCAGGCCGATCAGGGCTCTGGGCTCAGCACTGGAAGGTGCATTCACATCACAGGACTTCGGTTTCAGTTTGAGTTTGAGTACTTCCTGGAAACACACCCAAAGTTCAGCAAAACAGTGGTAGAAGATGAAAGCATCTTTCATCCAAACTTCTTACCTGGCTAGAAAGTTTAGGGCTGAACCTTCATGCCGCCCCCTTCCCCCAAGCCCTGCCGAGGTAGCTGCACAGGTCTCTAGCCATAGTCTGCATTTTTAGTGCGTGTTTGGGTTTTGTTTTTTAAACTTATTTCCTTTATTTTTATCTTATGTAAATGCGTGCTTTGACTGCACGTATGTCTATGCATCATATGTGTACAAGTGCTCTTGGATGCCAGCAAAGGGTGTCAGACCACATGGTACTGGGGTTACAGACAGCTGTTGGCTACTGTGTGTGTGTGCTGGGAATTGAATCCACATCCTCTGGAAAAGCATCCAGTGCACTTAACCACTGAGACCTGTCTTATTTTGTTTGAGTCAGGTCTCCCTACATAGCCCAGGCTAGCCTCCAACTCTGCATCCTCTTGCATCAAGCTCCCAAGTGGTGGGATTGTGGGTGTGAGCCGCCATGCCCGGCTTCACAGCCCTGCTGATGGGATAACTACAAATATTGAGCTGAGTGCAGGGAAAAGAATGATGAGTTTCCCTGCTCAGCCTGAGAGGAGAAGGACCATCAGGAAGATTTAATAATGTCTGTGCAAACCTCCCGTTGGTAAATATTTATTCCTCATTCTCTTAATTAAATAAAAATGCAGGGACGGTGAGATGGCTCATCAAGGAAAGGAGACTGCTGCCAGGCCTGATGACCCAAGTCCACATCCCGGGACCCCAATAGTGAACAAGAGAACTAATTCCTGCAAGCTGTTCTCTGACCTCCACACATTAGCCAAGGCCCATGCATGCCCCCAAAACACATAAATTTAAAAACAGTTTCTGCATGTGCGTAAGTTAACTCAAACCCACACAACAGAAGCACACGTGCGTTCCTAATGTCTCAGCGGTAGTTTATGGTGCTTGGGTCTTAACACCTGAAAGCGCAGCTTGGAACCAGTCTCGTGTGACTGTTCTGGGAACTACTAACTTTTCTTTTTTTTTTTTTTTTTTTTTTTTTTGGTTTTTCGAGACGGGGTTTCTCTGTGGTTTTGGAGCCTGTCCTGGAACTAGCTCTCGTAGACCAGGCTGGTCTCGAACTCACAGAGATCCACCTGCCTCTGCCTCCCGAGTGCTGGGATTAAAGGCATGCGCCACCACCGCCCGGCAGAACTAATAACTTTTAAATGATATTTCACGCAGGGGAACAGAATGAATTCAAGCTTGATTAAAATCCACAACAGGTACTGAACTAGAACACAATCCCAAACTGGGTTGTCTTCAAAAACCTACATTCTGAACCAAGTCAGTAAAGCCCTTGTTAAAGTGAAGAAGACATTTGCCCAGTAAAGATCTCAAGAAAGATGCTGGGGCCGGGATGTGTCTCAGTTGGTAGAGAGCTTGCCTGGCATGCAGGAGAGTTTCAAAAAACCGAGTATGGGGTACACACCTACAATTCCAGCACTTAAGAAGCGGAGGCAGGAGAATCAAAAATCCAAGCTTGTCCTCACTAACAAGTTTGACACCAGCCTGAGTTACCTAAGGCCTTGTCTCAACAAATAAACAACAAACAAAAAAATAAATAAACAAAAAATCAGAAAGAAAGGGGAAGGGGGATGGAGGAAAAAAAGGAACGAAGGAGAAACAAGAGCTGGAATCTGCTGGCGGCAGGGATGGTCATGAAATGAGTCAGCTGAGAAGAGAAAAGCCCACTGCCAAGCGGATTCAGCCTCCGGACTTTCCAGCCCAGGAAACTGTCCACGGTTCCTGGTTTGATAGAAAGACCAAACCTCCAACGTGCTTACCTCTTCTGCCTTCTATTGAGCCTGTTTCTAGCTGGGTGGCTTTCCAACCTGCCCACTTCAGCAACTGCTGCCATCACTCAACAAGTGGCATCTGACCCACAGCTGATACCTGATCCCAGCAGCAGAGAAAAGTGTGGCTTTCACTACAAAGATCCTCTTCAAAACAGCAAATCAGACCCCGAGAAGACAAGAGTCATCATAAAAACACTACTTCATCCCTGCCCCCCTCGCCCCCGTCCACCCCCCACCTCCACCCCCATACTTACTATGGGCGTTGGCATCTTCTTCAGTGATGTGTGGGGCTCAGCTTCAGCTCAGCAGCGGTGTGGATGCCTAAGGCACAGAGGGAGCAGAGCTTATTACGTCTCTAACAAGAAGCAAGGTCCCCAAGCCCTCAGGAGCTTCTCGCAGGGCCCTCTAGGAACAACTCCCAAACTCTTCCAACTTTCTCGCCCACCTCTGCTTTGCTCTGCACTTGCCCTTGAACGGACAAACCCTCGCCAGAGGCCTGGCACTTGTTCTGGCTAGGCATTCGCGCGTCTCTGGCTGCTTTTCTCTGCCCCGGCGGGTGCCAGGTGGGTGGCAGCTACTCGCCTGACTTGTTTATGCCCGCGCAGCCGTTCTCCAGCTCCCAGACAGCTCGCGGGGACCCGCAGAGGCACCTGGGCTTTCTCACCTTTGCTTAGGTCCCAAAAGAAGCGCTCCACCCTCCTCAGGTCACGAGCGTGCAAGCGAGGCCAGCGCAATCAGGATTGGTTTAATGGCTGCAGAGTCCTGGCCGCGCCATGTCACCCCGCCCACCTCCAGTGACAGGCTAATGAGAGCATCGCCAAGGGCCGGCCTGCTGCGTCCTCTGGGGTTCACTTAAATGCCTCCCTCCTGCTTCCTGCCTGGCCACTCTGCTCCTCTGCCCCAGATCCCCCTGCCCCTAACAGTCTTCACACACTCCTCTATCTGTGCCTAACATGTAAGAACATGTCACATTACTTGTTATCTTTGTACACGAATCATACAGAAGGGTTATTTATCTCTTCCACTCGAGAGTGGGACACGTCTGTAATCCTAGCATTTGGGAAGCCAAGGAAGGAGAACTGTCATGAGTTCCAAGTTAGCCTGGGCAACAGTGAGGCCTTGTCTCCAAAATAAAATAATAATAATAATAATAATAATAATAATAATAATAATAATAATAATAATAAAAAATAACTGGACCTAGTGGTTCATGCCTTTGGTTCCTGCACTCAGGGGGCAGAGGTAGGCCTGTCTCTGTGTGCTGGAGACTAGCCTGCTCTACATAGTGAGTTCTAAGGGAAACATAGAGAAACCTTGCCTCAAATATTGAAAATACAACAACAATAATAACAACAAAAGCAGTAATATGGGGCTGAAGAGATAGCTCAGGGGTTAAAGGCACTTGCTGCTCTTGCAGAGGTCCTGGGTTTGGTTCCCAGCACCCACATAGTGGCTCACAACCACAGATAACTCCAGTTCCAGGGCATTTGATACCCTCTTCTGATATCATTGTGCACCAGGCACACACATGATACACATGTATACAAAACACATACTCATTGTTGTGGGGTATTCACCAGAGACAACTGCTCAGATATGGGTTTAAGCCAATAAAAAGTCTATTAGCTGGGCAGTGATCACATTGGGTGTTCAGGATCCCAGTGTAGCACCAAGCCTTTCTCAGGGTGAGCTTTTAAATACAAAAACCATGTCCTGAGCTGGCATACCTCAGTTAACAAGAACAGCTAGCCAGAAGCGGAACTACAGGAGCCAAAAAGCAAGGTTAGTGCATTTAGAGACTTTCCCAGAACTATGGACTCCGATGGACTGGGCCTTTGTTGTAGTTTTGGCAGGTGGTGCTGTCTACCTGCTCAGTTTTGCAGCCTGAACAGCACTTCTCTCAGTTATGCTAAGGTCTTGGAACCTACTAAGTCTTGGACCCTGATGCACCTCAAAAATAAATCTTAAAACAGTTTTTAAAATTAAAAAAGTACACCCTCTGACATTTTGATAGAGGAACTTGAAATGTGCAAGCTCTTTTGGTTTCCTTTTCAGTGTTCAGAGATACTTTATTAGTTTCTCTAATCAAAGCTATGTGAATAAAACCATAAGTGTTTCATACAGTGCATCACCCTAGCACAGATGAAAAAGCAAAATAAACATTTTGGACCAATACTGTAGGAGGAGGGGCCACTTGTTCATCCTGGCTGCCCTGCTAGCTTAGCCCCGAAATAATCACACAGAAACTGTATTAATTAAATCACTGCTTAGCCCATTAGCTATAACTTCTTATTGGCTAACTCTTGGGTGACTGTCCAGGTAGCAAGATGTCTCTGTCAATTCTAGAGTTTTGGAAGTTGCTTACAATGTACTTCCTGTTTACTTAGGTAATATTATATCTTTCTGGAGACTTTGATGGAGTTGAAGAATTTATAGTTAGAGCTATAGCTTTTCTTAGTTATGATAAAAGATAAAGTAGATATAAATATTGTAACTGAAATTCTTGCTTGATACCTGTTTTGTAATATGTAATTTTACTATGTTAAAGTTAAAGCCTTCCTTTTTATTTAAACAGAAAAGGGAAGGTGATGTAGGAGTCCCCTCTGTGTGCTGTGATTAGCATTAATGAATAAAGAAACTGCCTTGGCCTAGTTGATAAGACAGAACTTAGGTAGGTGGAGAAGACGGAACTGAATGCTGGGAGGAAGAAGGGCAGAGTTGGGAGATTCCATGAACCTGCCACTGGAGATAGATGTGCTAGAACTTTGCTGGTAGGCCGCGACCTCATGGTGACACACAGATTAAAAGAAATGGGTTAAATTAAGATGTAAGAGTTAGCCAATACGAAGTTAGAGCTAATTGGCCAAGCAGTGATTTAATTAATACAGTTTCTGTGTGGTTATTTTGGGGCTAAGCAGCTGGGCAGCAGGGATAAACAAGAGGTCCCTGCTGCTACACAATATGACTGTTAACTTCTTATAATGTTCTTTTCTGCTTCTTAAAAACAGGAGATGAGGCTCAGATAGTGATATGTCCCTTTAAACCCAGCACTCAGGAGGTAGAGGTATGAACTCTCTGTGAGTTCAAGGCCACTCAGGGTTACATAGTGAGACCTCGTCTCAAAAATAAAATAAAACAGTAACAAAGCAGGAAGTGAAATTCCCATATGACAGCTACCCTCACTGTATCAGAAAGAATCCATCTCCCAGAGGCCCTGGATTCCATTCCCAGCACCACCCCCAAAAGATAGTAATAACTCGCCTTTTCAGTCTTCCTACTGAATTTAAGCACTTCTTTGTCTACAGTATAGGAATAACTGAGTCTTCCCTAGATGCTTCTTGGGGTCTTTGTCTCCTCCCCTTCCTCCTCTTCTTCACACTTCCTATTTCTTTCTGGAAGTGATACTTCAGGCCTCATGGACACCCCACAAATCCACAAGTCTTCATTTCTCCATGCAAACTCCTATGATTCACAAAACTCCACAAATCCATAAACCTTCATTTCTCCAAGCAAACTCCTATGACACACAAAACTTGAGTCTGAGAAATCTGTATGCCTTTTCTCCTGTTCATTTATTTCATGCCCGTTTATTTCTGAAAGCCAGCCAGGACCAGAGGGTAGAGTTGTTTCATTGCTTCTCCCTACACATCTATGTGAAACTTAAAGCCAGCCAAAGGCAAGGGTTTGGTGGCATACAGCTGCAAACTGAGGCAGAAGATCACTAGAACCTGGAAGTTCAGCCCAGCCTGGTCAACATAGCATGGCAGTGGCAGGGACAACAGAAATCGTAGGTCTAGCAGAAAAGACATTTAACTCTAGTCATGTGTCCCCAGATGTCTGCATCTATATTCCCAATGGCATACGGTATTTTACGAGTGAATGGATGGCCAAGCAGAGCCCCTTGCTCTGTGATGGGCCTGGACTCCACAGAAGTAAAATTTACTCTTCTTTTTTTAACGGGCTCATCCTTTTATTGGACATGTGAACAAAAGAGGTTTAATCAAAAAGACCAAAGCCCATGTTGTCATCAGCCTCCTCAGATTCTTCCTTCTCTGCTTCCCCTTCCTTCTCCTCGGCTGGGGCAGCAGCAATAGAGAGGGCAGGACCTGCTGCTGAGGCTCCAGCTGCTGGAGCAGGGCCACCAGCCCCTACATTGCAGATGAGGCTCCAGTGTTGATATTGGTCAGTAAACAAGCCAGACCAGAAAGGTTCAACATTGGTACCAGCTGCTTTAATGAGGACATTAATATTATCCTCCATGGCCGTCACCTCGTGGTTGTACAGCAGGCGGGTGGAATGGACACAGGTGGGCTCAGAGATGGAGACTATGTTTCTGACTGCCGGCATGGTGCTAGTCGCAGGAAGAAGTGAGGGCCCCACCACAACTGAGCCTTTGAAGTGAGGCTCGTCAGACCGAACCCTAGCCTTGCCCTTGCTACTTTAAGAGAATGCAGTGTGTAGCTTCCTCTGAGCCTCATTCTGTTCATCTATAAAATGGGTTGCTGATGCTATTAGGCAATGTATAAGAATATATTTCCTAAGGAAGAGCTCATTAACCTGCCGAGCACTGTCTGCCACGTGGTAAGTCCTCGATCAGGATGTGTGAGTCACACAGAGGCACACGATCATTCACATCACAGGATACTCACCTGCTTCTTGATAAGGAGAGTCAGCATTAATAAACGCCATTGTTTTATGCGCTCTGTTCCTCAATCAACCCACTGCTGAGAATATTGGGCTAGTGACCGTAAGGTCATCTTAACCCAGGATGTGGCTGGTAAGAGGATGGCTCATCAGGTAAAAAATATTTGCCACCGGGGCTGGAGAGATGGCTCAGCGGTTAAGAGCACTGGCTGCTCTTCCAGAGGTCCTGAGTTCAATTCCTAGCAACCACATGGTGGTTTACAACCATCTGGAATGAGACCTAGTGCCCTCTTCTGGTGTGCAGGCATACATGCAGGCAGAACACTGTATACATAATAAATAAATCTTTAAAAAAAATAAAGAAAAACCCACATTTTAAAAAAAAATATTTGCCACCTTAGCCTCAACCTGTGTTAGGTCCCAGGACATGGACGGTGAGGGAGAAGTGAACTCCTGCAAGTTCTCACCGGCACATATGCACCATGGCATGCGAGTTCTCTTTTATGCACATGCTCACGCTAGCGCGCGCTCTCTCTCTCAGCTGTAATAAAATAAATAAAACAAATAAACTAAACATGGAAGATACTTTGTGCAGTAATAGTTCTTGGAGTAGAAGGCAGCATTAGGCAAGCTATAGCCCTATCACTGTTTTCCCCAACCCAGGAGCATTTTTGGAAGCCCCTGTTGGCTTCTGCTTCTACACGGGCCCAGCTGTAACCTCCAGTGCCCATCTTTCCTAATACTGTGCCAGACACAAACAAAACAAATTGAATGGCAATAGTCTAGTCAGAGAGCTTCGAATTCTTACTTTTCACCCCATTCTGTAATATTCAGCAAGAAGCTGTTCCTTGGTGCTGGCACTGGCACTAGATGGCCCTCACCATTTCGAAACTGGGCAACAAATACGGGAAAGGTCTATTTGGCTCACAACTCTGGAAACTGCTCAGCATCTGGTGAGGTCCTTGGGCCGCACCAAAACATGACAGCAGCATTGCCCAACATTACACTGCATAGATCACAGAACCAGGATGCTTTCTTGATGGAGCCTCTCCTCCCACTACATACTAACGACAAAGGGTTTGGTCCATCCGTGAGGGCTCTGCCCAGTCATCTCCCAACAGTCCACCTTTTAAATGCTGTCGATGCCTAGCACTGGGAATTCAGTTTCCAGCACACAAACTCTGGGGAACATTTAAACCGTAGCGCCTAACAAGGTAGACAAGACTCAATTTGTCCCTTGCCTGTAGTTTCCAGTCTTTTCTGCAAACCCATTCTGCTTCTGGATAAGAGGGTAGCAATACTACTTTTAAAGAATTTGCCATCTTTTCACTATGCCTGAGTGGAAAGAGGAAAGCTTTGAAGAGGATGCACAGACCCCATGAGGAACTGAGCAGGTGGAGAAGAGGCCACTGTAGGTAGGATGGGGCAGGGGTAAGCAGGGGCTGGCTGTGATACACAAGGACCAGAGAGCAGAGGCTCCTGGATAACACAAGGGAACGTGTTGCTTAACAGCCAGTCAGAGCAGGCCTTCTCCCCAGGGAATGGATCCTTTAGCCAACTGAACACAGGGTTTCCACATGTGTCCAGGTTGCTGTGGTAACGCTTGGTGAATATGCCAGTTCTAAGTTTGTCAGGATTTCATGAAAGACAACAGCGAAGTGTTTCTTCCAAACCCCCTCCCCCTGAGACCCCCAAAGTACTGCTGTAGAGACCAGAGGATCAATCCTGGGTGAAATGCCCTGAAGCACACCTCCTGCATCGATGTGGAGCATAAACATCTCTGCCCACTACCCTCAAAAGAGCATTCCAGAACCTTTCCCCTAGGCAGTGTACCAGGCTTAAGTGTCTCAATCTGCTGAGTGTGGGTAACTCGGGAGAGAAGTGGGTTCTTGCATTGGGCTGGCCGACAGTCTTTCCTTTGGTGACCCTGGTAGGAGCTGCCTGCAGATTATCATCTGTGACCTAAGTCTGACTTTCCTGAGCCGTAGCCCTGGGCCAGCGCTGACTACAAAGGGCATGACTCCAGCCATACCATCCAAAAGCCTTCTCTGGAATGGAGATAAACATGTTTTTAATAGACAGGAGTTTTAAAAAAAAATTAAAGACTCTTTCCTCTGGTGACATTTAAGTGGGATGACATAAGGCTAGAGCCATTTGAGACTGCTCGCCTCCCCAAAGGCCCACGGAAAAACCATCTGGCACAGCAGATAATGTGTTGCACACTGATAAGAGCCCTGTGGAGGTTTTTCCTCCAATGCCTAGTGTGGGTTTTACACTTGGGCACCCACTGAAGCTGGACTTGTCTTAGACGCAGCTACCAGGTAAGTTAAAGCAAGTGTCAGCATTGAAGAGAAGCCACAACTGGGCCCACACTCCTTACCTTGGTCCTAATGATAAGGGCAACAGTAATAGCCTGCAAGTATTGGATTTTTGTTTTTACTCCACCCCTTTCTGTCCCTCCCCCGCCAACCTGTGAAGAACCTCCTACTCGCCTAGAATAGCACTGATACAATCAGTAATCAGGGATGGAAGGTAGAATGAGGGCTGAGCCCGCCCAGTGGATTCCAAAGTATAGAACAAATCTTTGGGGGCTGGAGATGGCTCTGTGGTTAAAAACACTGGCTGTTCATCCAGGAGTCCTGAGTTCAATTCCCAGCACCCACATAGCAGCTCACAACTGTCTATAACAGAATCCAATGCCCTCTTTTGGTGTGCACATGGGCATGAAGACAAAGCACTCATATACATTAAATAAATAAACCTCTAAAAGAAAAATCATAGCTCAGTTGGTAGAGTGTTATCGGGGAGCCCTCCAAAGATGACCTTTCAGACACAGTATACAACCAAGTGAAAGTCTTTATTCCAGCTGGAACTACTCTCAGTTATTCAAGACCCACCAAGTATTTAGAGGAAGTGGTTTTTAAAGGCAAAAACCACATCAGTTACCACATCTAATAGCTGCAGGTGGAGGTTTTATGCAAGCAAGCAGTTTATCAGAAGCTAATTGGTTAGTGGGGGGCAGGTGCAGAAATGGACAGTCTAACAGAAGCTAAGTTAGTTGGGGCATCCTGATCTCAGATTCCTAAAATAGAGTTGTGTAATTTTTTTCAGGGCATTGTCCATCAAGGAGCCCAAATTCTATTAAACCTAAAATGGCCTAAGCAAGAATGCAAGATGGAGGAGGCTTTGCACTGTTTTGCTCTGTCACATTGTCACTGGTTTTATGGGCATGAGTCAAGTACACTGTTGACTCCTCCTGTTCTAGGAGGGCATAATTGGTCCAAAGGACCAGTAGTTTATCTGAGCTTATTCTTTGTTTGATGTAGTTAGCCATGCAGTTGAGGATGCAGAGTCCCATCATTAGCCCGATCAGGATAAGAATCAATGGTTGGCTATTGCTGACATTAAGGTGGTCAGCCATGAGGACCAGGTAAGCAGAGGCTCATACTAATTATTTGATCTATGTATCCTTTCTTCCCTTTCTTTAAGGTTTTCCCTGACCATGGCAAGGTATTCCCTAGTTACCACTGACTAGTTGACATACAAACAGCAAGTTTCTCCTAAGCGATGCAGTCTTGTTTCATAAAAAATGTCTAGCCCCCAGTCAGCTTGGCTCTCCAGCCTGGAAACAGAATTTTCCAAATGGCCTAGGCCTAAATCTACCTGGAAAGTGAGGTTTCTAAAGTTTTGGTTTCTGACAACCAAGGTCGAGGTGCCAATGGCAGTTGTACCAACTAATCCCGCCCCTACTAGGTTGGAAACCAGAAAGGGGCAAGTTCAACCTTTGTTAACATTGAATCTAGACCACTATGGCCCCTCCTCTAATCCCCATTATAGGCATCTACCTGGAATATAGCGCAGACAAATACACATAGAATGGGGGTGTGGTTTTGAGTAGGGCAGGCACATTTAGTCTCTGGGTTAGAACGAGTTTGGAGATGGGAGATGGCAGGATTCCCTTCACCATTGGGTCAATGGCCTGGCAAGTTCCTGCTAAGCTTGCAGGGACTTGGAATCGGAGTGATTAGGCATTTCTGCAGGGAATGTGTTGGGGAGGATGGGAGATGATCTCCCAAACATCATTTCAAAAGGACTAAGCCCCTCCCTGTAAGGAGCACATAGGCAATGCACATACAAGTGGAATGGCTTAGAAATGTCATGGGAAAGCATCTGTTTATTTTCCTCTAGGTTGTAGCCTAGGTATATGACCTCCATGCTGCCTTTGGACTTGAGAGCATAGTCGTACGCTTCATCGCAGGCTCCCACGATCTCTCATGGGCCATGGTACAAAGAGGTTTCTCCCAGCCATGGCCTGTAGGCTTGAGAGCACAGCCACAGGCCTAAGGGTACAGCTGCATGCTACTTACTTCTGCTTCCCAGAGTTGGAGAGGTAAGCATGACTCTCCTGGGTATCTCTGCCCATATAGGAAGTGTCACTATTAGGAGGTATGGCTTTGTGTGTAACTGTGGGGGTGGGCTTTGAGGTCTCCTGTGCTCAAGTTACACCCAGGGACACAGATCACTTCCTATTGCCAGATGTAGAACTCAGCCAGGTGGTGGTAGTCATGCACACCGTTAATGCCAGCACTTAGGAGGCAGAGGCAGATGGACCTCTGTGAGCTTGAAGTCAGCCTGGTCTACAGTACAAATTCTAGGTCAGCCACAGCCAGGGCTGTTACAAAGAGAAACTCTGTGGGCCAGGGGTAGGAAACAAGATGTAGAACTCTCAGTTCCTTCTCCAGCACCATGTCTGGCCGCAGACCACCATGATGGTAGCGGACCTCTGTAACTGTAAGGCATCCCAACTAAATGTTTCATAAGAGTTGCCATGGATGGTGTCTCTTCTCAGCAACAAAACATGGTCAGAGAGGATTTTCCTGGGCCCTAGAACATCTCAAGTTGCACACTCTCTAGGAGTCCTCTCTAGCTGGTGTGCTCTTCACCAATCTTGGGATCCCAAGGGCCCTAAAGTGTCAGGATCCAGTCTCTGGAGATCTTGCTGAGGGACTCCATGTTATAAGGAGCCCATTAGAGATGACCACTCAGACAAAGTTTATATCAAATTGAAAGTCTTTATTCCAGCCAGCAGGTACTACACAAGTATTAGGGACCCAATGCAGTATTTAGAGCTAGGGATTTTTAAAGGCAGAAACCACATCATGGCATCTCCCTTAGCAGCTAACAGGGAGGTTTTGCACAAGCAGGCAATTTGCCAGAAGCTAAGTTAGCTAGGGCATTTTGACCTGAGATTCCTAGAATAAAGTTGGGTTATCTTACATAGATTCTTTATCAAGTTCCAATTCTAGCTAAACACAAATATAAGATGGAGGAACCTCTGTACTGTTTTTTTTTTTTTTTTTTGTTTTTTGAGACAGGGTTTCTCTGTGGTTTTGGAGCCTGTCCTGGAACTAGCTCTTGTAGACCAGGCTGGTCTCGAACTCACAGAGATCCGCCTGCTTCTGCCTCCCAAGTGCTGGGATTAAAGGCGTGCGCCACCCCCCCCCTTAGGTTTTTTTTTTTTTTTTTTTTGGCCTCTGTACTGTCTTTTCTTCTATTACAATAGTACACTTCTAAAAAGTCTGACATCCTCATTCCATTCCCAACACAAATTAGGCATGGCACAAGGCAGGTCAAAGCAGAATCAAGCTTATCCTCAGAAACATATTAAATTTAAGGCCAACCTGGGTAACTGTTGACCTTCATTGACCTATGCCACCCTGTCTTCAAAAGCCAGGATTTGAGGACCTTAATGGTGAGAACTACAGTCTAACACTGCAGACTACTTCAATTTCAGTGTACATGAGCATAACAAAGCAGTGATCCAAGTCATTTGGGTTCAGAAAAACATGTAAATAAATAAACGCCAGTAAGCACATACTATTAACAGAGCAGCCCTTTCCTAGAACTTCTCAGAATAGACCAATTTAAAAACAACTGTCTGCCATGTGCTATAGATTCTATCTGGGAAAGCATAAAAACAAAGTAGAAGGCCATATCCAGATTCAGGGTACACTGAGGACAGCACTCAGCATATCCTTTCACCAGACTGGGCTCCACAGCTATGTTCCATCCAACAGGAACAAACATGTCTTAAAAATTGATTGCAAATGTTTGTCACAGGCAGTATGAAATCGTGCCTAAGAACAATCCAGGGAACAAAATGCATTTGAGGTAAAGGGTCCTCTGCCTTTTTTCCTGGCGTTTCACTTCCTCTAGGCATTGTTCATCATGTATTATGACTATGTTGAAAGGCAATATGAGAGTTTGTCTCAAAGGGAACAGAGGGAGGGAGGGAGAACCCAGGAGATGGTGGAGCATACTTTTTAAGTTCAGCATTCAGGAGGCAGAGACAGGCAGATCTTTGTGAGTTTGAGGACAGCCTGGTCTACAGAGGGAATTCCAGGACAGCCAGGGCTACACAGAGAAATCCTGTCTTGGAAGGGGGGGAGCCCAGTGTAGTGGCATAACTCTTATCCCAGCACTCTTAAGGTCTTACTTAAGGCAGAGGCTGGTGGATCTGTAAGTTCAAAGCCAGTCCAGACTACATACTGAGCTCCAGACCAGCCACGGCTACATAGTGACCTTTCTCAGGACTGAAGAAACTCAGTACTACTTCCCCACTGCCTCCCTGGTCATCAGTGGAGAGAAAATATTTCAACACAGATCTCCCTCTATCCACCCCACTGTGAGATTCTATTTAACTACAGTTGGCTCTGGCTCCAAGCAGCCAACTAGAAGATACTGTAAACCTCAAGACTACACACTGCTGACTTTCAAGCAGCTGAAATAGCCTTTCCAGCTCACTGCTAACTAAGAATCACTGTGGTGGGAGGGCTAAGTGAGCTGACCTGCCATTGCCCCTACCTCTGACCAGGTCACCAATTCCCCTTGCCAAGCCCCTTCTGTCCTACGGGTCTTCCACAAGAAAGAATAGTAACAACAAACACAGGTAACATGGCATTGTGCTCTTTAATCCATTAAATGAATCGTACAACCCAGAAAAGAAACGGAAATGTGCCTTTAACACAGAACAGCATCATTGCTTCCCATTGCATTTCAAAAATCTGTATTGTTTTAAAGCCATTCAAAGGCAAGGATCTAGCAAAAGTTCTTATAACAATTCATTTTTAAAGTAAAATTCAGGATACCTTGTGTATGTTCAAGATTAAACTCTTAAGGCTTACATCCATAACACCTTTGATGACCTAAACTAAAGAGGTTTGGGCATCAATGTGACCTTCCCTTGGTCTCAACATTAAACTTGCACTCTGGCACATAAAATTCTTTCCCATAGGAAGCCTTTCTGTTGATAAGGGCTGTGATGCTCCTGCTGTGGGGTGCACAAGTGACTACTTTCATACTTATAATCCCATCCTTTGTTCATTACTGGTATTAGTACTTCAGGGTTTTCTGTGTATAAAAGATTTCAGGATTCAAAAGGAGACAGCCTCATCTCTGTGAGTTCAAGGCCAGCCTGGTCTATACAGTAAATTCCAGAACAACCAGGGATACTATTGAGTCCCTTTCTCAAAACAAAACAACAAAAAATTAAGGGATTCAAGTTGCAGTGCCCAACTTGACTTCTTCAGAGTATGAGAGGGAATACTATCAACATTTGTTTAAAAAAAATCCTAATCACCTGTTAGCGTGTGAGGGCAGGTACATAAGAGAAGGCACTGACAGCTTTAAAAAGCTTGGACAATCCTCTAATTAAGGCACCCTGATCATTCTAAACATAGTAAACTCTCGATGAGCAGACCTGGCAGCAGACCTCAGGCATCTGCTCGAAATGCAAAGGGCACTTCCCATCTGGGTACTCCCATTCCTAGATCAGTTTATTCTCCCTCATTTATCCCCCCACCCACCAGTCACTTACTGGTATTTGTAAGAGATGGATCTCAGGCACAGACAAAACCACGGCAACAATCCCTAGATACAAAGCAGAGTCTGTTTCTTTCAACACACCCCACAGATTAATCTAAAGCATGAAAAGGTAGATGAGAACTAGTGTCCAAGATAGAGCTACAGTCAGTTCCTGAGGAAAACAACTGTATCCCACTACAACCAACCACATTGGACAGGGAATATTTTGCTAAATGAGGCTTGCTTATGGCCTTGTCCCTGACAAAAACAGTATTGGCTCCACATGCTAGGTAGAAGAATACAAAGATGTTGGTCACGTGATGGAAAAACCAACTCATCATTACATTTCAAAAAAAGACACCAACAAAATAGATCTTTTGATACTTCCCTGTTACTTTTTGGGGGGAAATTTTTTAGGGGTCGGGGGTTTAGGCCGAAATTAACCTACTGAATTTTTATCTCATTTACATATCCTAGGTACCAGTGTGTGACCTCCTAAAGAAACTTCAAAGAAAACACAACGCTTGTGCCTATGCACTTGTCTGCCTTAAGCGAGTGAGAGAAAGCAAATTAAACACAAACATTCACAGCAACTTGACTCAGGATAAAGCAAGTATCAAACATAAACATCTGGCTGGAGCTGCACAGAAAAAGGAAGAGTGGAGGGAGAGAAGAAAAGAAATAAAAGAGAAGTTACAAGCATCCATGAAACAGATTTTTGGTACTCTTCAAAAGGGATATATGACATTTATCAGCAAGCGATAAATCATGAGAGAGACTTCTCAGAAGAAGAATCAAAGGCGCGATTCTATCCATTTGATGGTAGGAGGCAGACTGAAGTGTTTGACTCGGTGGATAGAGCAAATGCCTGCCATACACACAGCCCTGGGGCCCCCAAAACAAAACCAAGGATATCTTGGCAACATTTAGTTTCTTCTAAAGTGAATTATTTTTAATGAAAATCTCCATTATGTTCATAGGAATGTGTTCCACATATTGACAGGAGTGTAGAAATTAACATCACACACACAGAAAGCGTGGTCTGACCAGGGGACACTAGTCTGAGTCCTCCTATACCATGTCCCTGACCCACAAACAAAAGGCTGGAGGTGCTAACAGAATCCTTCACCACTTATGAATATCCTCAGGACTATTTCTAGCCATTCATTAAAGACATTCTGTATTGAAAAACTGTGATAGAAAGTCAACAATTTAAAGTTAGAAAAGAGGCCAAGGAAAACAGCTAAGAACCCTCAAAGAAAACTTTTTTTTTTTGGTTTTTGAGACAGGGTTTCTCTGTAGCTTTGGAGCCTGTCCTGGAACTAGCTCTTGTAGACCAGGTTGCTCAGACTCACAGAGATCCACCTCCCTCTACCTCCCACGTGCTGGGATTAAAGGCGCGTGCCACCACCGCCTGGCTCAAAGAAAACTTCATAAACATGTTCCAGAAGCAGAGTGAGTTAATTAACGGAACATTCACCTTAAACTCATACACAGATGTAATATAGAAGTATTACAGAAATCTTTCTCACATCATCTTTTCTCACCATTTAGAGTAGAGCTGGGCAGTCGGGTGATGGTGGTGCACGCCTTTAGTCCCTGCACTCAGGAGGCAGAGGAAGGTGGATCTCTATGAGTTAGAGGCCAGAGCTAGTTCCAGGGACAGGCTCCAAAGCTACACAGAGCAACCCTGTCTCAAAAAAAAAAAAAAAAAAATCAAAACAAACAAAAAGTGTAGAACAGAGATAGGCATGGGGACACGCCTATAAGCTCAGTACTATAAGCTGAGGCAGCAGACCTTAGGTACAAGGCCAGTCTAAACTACAAAGAAAGTTATAGGCTAACCTGGATTATATAACAAGACCCAATCTCAGCACTGGGAACCCATCATTCAGTACAAGCTTTCACATAGGGGACACTACCTGAAAACCCTGCACGCTGCAGGACTGAACTTCCAACCCCTTCCAAGGTCAGCCATCACTCACAAGCAGTGAACAGCTTCAAAACAAGCTGGAATTGTTCCCAGATGGCACAGCGAAAGGAAAAATTACTATGAACTTCAGGACAAGATAATAGAAAAATCTTAATATTAATTCAGGATTTGTTAAATGTTTGATTGGAAAACTTAGAAGAAAATTCTGATATGGAAATTAAATGCAAGACGTCCTTTTTTTCTACCTTCCATTCATATTTCATGTGCATAAATTTACACTAGCTTTGGCCAAAACCATTCTATCTCCTTCCCAAAACAAAATTTCAAATTACCTTAAAAAAAATTATGATTTCTATACCTGTGGGCATGTTTTAAGGCTTAAATCCACAGTAATTCACCACTACAAAATCAAAGAAAAAAAAAACCTAATAGATAAAACTTTAACACATAATCGAGGTAAAAGTAAAAAAGGAAATTTTAGAGTCTGAGCAACTATCCTTCTTAAGTCAGTTATTAACAGTTTAGCTTTGATATTATGAACATTAGACAGTTCACAGAATAAAAAGCAGTTTGGGGTCAAGCACAGTGGCACACAGAGGCACAAGGATCTCTATGAGTTCAAGGCTGGCCTGGTCTGTATTAAAAACTCCAGGCCAGTTAGTGCAACACAGTCAGACACCACCTCCACCACCAAAAAAATAAAATAAAAAAAGGTTGACTACAATTTTAAACTAAAGTTTGATCTAAAGTAAGAACTTTAGATCAGATTATTTGGTATTACCACTAAGCAACATGAAACTGAACATTAATTAAAAGAAGTAATATTTGGTAATGTCTTTTCTCCACTAAAAACAACTATTTTTAAAAGTAACACATACATACATAAATATGCAGTGAATCTGACCAAGACAAATTCAAACTACAATTTAACATGAAGTATCTCACTCATACCTTTTATTATGAACCACTGGCTTTTAAAGGACTGTTTACCTCTTTTCTAGGAAGAAGCTACAGGAATAAAAGTAAAAAAGCAAGTTCAACAAAACTGCCAGCCTATGTAAAAGACCTTATATTCTCCAACACAAATTATTAAATGATTTAATTTTTCCATGTTGCATAGCAAAGATAATTCATATAAATAAGGTTTCTGAAGGATGGATGGTAGCACAGGTCTATATTCAAGCTACTCAAAAAAGCTAGAGAGGGAGGAAGAAGATGGAAAGCTCACAGCCAACCTGGAAACAAAGTAATTTAAAGACCTGAAACTACACAGTCAAGCAGGCTAGGGGACAGCTCCAGGCTAGGGCAATTGTCTGTCTAGCATGTCAGGCACTAGGTTCAATCAGCAGTACTGGGAGAAATTGTTTAAGTGTAATAAGTATTATTTCAGTTGGCCTTTAGTTCTGAGCCTTTTTCAAGTTGTGTAAACATTTGAAAAATAAATTTTCAAAGGTACAAAACTAAAATTCAAAAGAGAACTTGATCCAAAACCACATTTCCTGAGGCTGTCCTCCATTCCTCAGTCTTCACGGCTGCAGAGGCATGGTCTGGTCTTAAAAGGCACTATGTGGCACATCATTTCCATGTTTTCCTTTTAGCCCCCACCCCCACCCCTTAAAGTGCACAAAGCAGAGAAGAGAGTAGCCTTGGGCTTGTAACAGCAAGAAAAAGAACTGCTTCCAAGACAAGTGGAACGGGAAACCACAGGAGAGGTCGGTTCATTTATTACAGTGCCCTGTCTCAGCTCTTCCAGGATGCTCTCAGATCGGCCATTCCTCTGGAACTGGACCCATGGTGGCATTAGCAGAAATCCAGGGGCTGACTGGGCTCTTGTTGGGTCTTGCCGTTAAGATGCTATTGAGCTTTTTTATCTGTAGGTGGCCTCCCAACGATGGCATCCCTCACTGCAGCCTGAGTAGAATTGCCAATATGAGAAGAAGCCTGCAAAAGTCCATTTAGTTAATCTATTAGTTAATAAACTACAACACAGCATAAAAAAATAAGTCCTAGGTGATAACTTCTAATAGCTTTCCTCACAGCTGTGAATGAGACCGCAGTGGTGAGAGGAAACATGGCCACAGCTGATCCTAAGAGCCAGTGGAGCATCTGCTCCTCTGCTGAGGCGGAGGCTTCCCCAGCTTCATACTGTTGACCTAACTGATCTGTTTATGCCAAAGAAAGAAACAAACTTGTACTAAAAACACACAAAATGACTGGCTGCAGTGGTGCACACCTGCAACACAATCTCAGCACTCACAAGGTTGAGAGTATATGTTTCAGGCCATTCTGCATAACACAGGGAGCCCGAGGCCAGCCTAGACTACGGAAAGACCCTGCCTCAAAAATAATGTATGGAAACTGGAGCTCAGCCAGGAGTAGCATATAGGATATGCATATACCCTTAGCAGTTGTAGCACTTAAGATCTCTTTAGAGGCGCAGAATCAGTTCATTCTCTTCTACGTTATTAAGTCTGAAACCAGCCTAGGCAACATAAAACTATCTCAAACAAACAAAAAACCAAAACCCTAAATGGACTAGCAAGATGGCTCATCAGGTAAATACTTGCTGCTCAACCTTAACTACCTGAGTTAATTCCCAGAACCCATATAAAGGTGAATGGCAAAAATTGACTCTTCAAAGTTGTCCTCTGACTTCCACATCCTGTGCTCTGAGTCTCATACACCCACATTCACATATCATATGCAACACAACACACATAATATTAACAAATTTAAATAAACTTTAAAGACTTTAAAAATAAAAAACCCTAGAGATTACATCAATCTCAAAAACGATTTGCAGCTGAGCGATGGTGGTACACACCTTTAACTCCAGCACTCTGGAGGCAGAGGCAGGTGGATCTCTGTGAGTTCAAGGCCAGTCTGTAGATCACTACAGCCAGCCAGAGCTGTTACACAAAAAACCCTGTCTCAAACCCGGCCCCCAAAATATTTGCATTTTGGAGACATAAATGATGGTATATATGAAGATGCCATAAAGAACCCCACTATTTTATATGTTAACCAAAACAATTAAAAATAAAAATAAAACTGCCCTAGGAGGAACAAAGTAGATCAAAGACTTTTTTTTGCATTAAAGGGTTATTTTTAGGCATTAAAACAAAGTATCAGGACTAAATATTAATATACTAAAAAAAAATTAAATATAAAGCCCACCCATTAGAAAATGGGCGTAACCCTTTTTAACTATGAAATTCTTCCAAACTTTACAACATCAGAACAATCACCACAGACCCCCAGCTTCAGCCAGCATCACTCACCTGCTCTAACACATATGCTGCACCAGAGTCAATAGCTCCACCCAGCTCACGATACTGACCAGAATACCTGATGTACCCCCAGGTAAGGAGTGCTATCAACAGCAGTCCAACCATACAGTTGAACAGCTGGGCCACAACCTCAAGCCCAATGAAGCCAGTGAAGCCCGAGGCTATGTACAATGCTGCTATGCCTGTGAACAGAACTGCAGGGGTTCGGAAGGTGCTGAAGACGTTCTTGCTGCCATTGTGCTTGCAGAAATTCTCATACAGTTCCTTGATTTCCTCCTCAAGCTCCTGCTGGTATCGGAAGCTGAAATCCTTCCCGCCCATCTTTTTGGTCTTCTTAAAGTGGTCCAGAGCAAGTTGTCTGAATTCTTGGTGCTTCTCTTCTAAAATGTCTGGAGACAAATAAGGTTTCTCTCCCCCACAAACCTAAAAATTACAAAAACACATGATGAAAAGTCTTGTACATGCCAAATAAAAAAAGTAAAAAGACACAGTAAAGACTAGAATGCTCTTAAGGCTTTAGAAAAAAAAGCTTGGAAGTTAACTTCAGAAAATATTCAAGGGAGACTGAGGACATAAATCACATTGTAGAGTATTTGAGTATTTGCCTAGTATCTGTATGCACAGACCCTGGGGGTTCAATCTCAATACCATAAATATCAGTATGGTGGTGCACATGTATTATTCCAACACTCCAGAGGTGGCTACAGGAGGATCAGAAAGTTCAAAGTCATCCTCAGCTAGAGGATGTGGCCCACCTAGATTACATGAGATTCTCCTTCAATAAGAAGTCAAAAAAGGGACTGGAGAGATGGCTCAGTGGTTAAGAACATTGACTGTTCTTCCAGAGGACCTAGGTTCAATTCCTACACCCACATGGCAGCTCGTAAGTGTCTGTAACTCTAGTTCCAGGGGACCCAACACTCTCACACAAACATACAAGCAGGCAAAAACACCAATGCAAATATTTTTTTTAAGTCAGAAAAGACAAATAGCCAAGGCCAAAGCCAGAAATACTAGTATACATTTATAATCCCAACACTCAGGACGCAGAGGCAAGAGATGGAGCTGGAGCTGGTCTACATAACAAACTCCAGGCCAGAGATACATAGTAAGCCTTGCATAAAAATATGATAGCCAATTTTAAAACAAAAACAAAAACAGGGTTAACACTAATCAGAAAGAACAAAGATACTCTTGAGAAAGCTTGGTCAGAAATGGTTAATAACCAGACACTGGCAGGCTGGAGAGATGGCTCAGCAGCTAAGAACTCTTGCTGCTCTTGCATACAATCAAGAGTTCAGTTCCCAGCACTCACATGAGAAAGCTCACAACCTATAACTAGAGCTCAGGGGATCTAATACCCACCTCTGGCCTACTCAGCTATCTACAGATACAAATATACACATTAATAAATAATAAATCTTAACAGAAAAGAAATAACAATCATGATGGCACACATTTACAATCCAAGCCTTAGGAAACTTGTCACGAGAGGATTGTCATGAGTTTGAGACCAACCTGAACTACATATCAAGACCCATCTCAGAAAAACAAAAATAACTAGAAGATTCCAATTACATAGACTCTTCTAATTCAAAATAAAAGAAAAATTAAATTAAAAAAAGTAATAATTAGAACATCCCAATTACCAGGATGACCTGAAAAATAGCTTTGTGTCTCAACATCTTAAGACACATTAGGCAGGGGACTGGAGAAAGAGCTCCAGTAGTTAAAAGAGGGCTTTCCCAGACAACCAGATTACATTTCCAACACTTATGTTAAGCCATTCACAACCACCTGAAACTTTAGCTTCAGAGGATCCAACACCATCTTCCATGAATACTCTCACATTTGTGGCATACATTCACAAGATCATAAGTGAAGACAAACCTTTAAGGCACATTGCTGTGCCATAGCATTAGTAAGGTAAAGGCAGTACAATCACACATTTAAAGCAGCCTTCACTACACAGTGATTTTCAGGCCAGCCTATTTACATAAAAACTTATCTCAAGCAAAAGGGATACATTGAGTAGGATAAAGTTTGGGCCTCTGAGGTCAACAGTCATGCTCAGGAGATAGACACTCCAGGGGAAAAGGTGTTACCAACATACCTCCTCCATGTTGCTGTAATAAATGTCTTTGGCAGAGGCTGCAGCTGCCAAATTATTGGCTTCAGCAGTAGCCTTTTAAGAAAGAAAAGTATGAACTATAAATACTTCTTGAAACATTTTCCCAGAAATAAAGCAAAAACATCTCTCTTCCTATTCCCATTCTTCCTTTTTTAGCAACCTGTCATTATTTACATTTCCATATAACTCAACTTTCCATATAACAGACTTTAGTCAATTTTTGTGCCAAAACATCTATCCTGATAATCTTTAGCATAACCCAAACCTCCAAAACCCAAGAATATATCATTTCCTTTACTTCAATTTCTAACAATGGCATACTTTGTTTTTGTTTTTTTTTTAAAGTATTTTATTTTATTTTTTAAATTGACAAATTTTCATATGAGCCAACAAATGGTAAAGGCATCCACTTCTTTTTTTTTAATATTTATTTATTTATTTGTTATGTATACAATATTCTGTCTGTGTGTATGTCTCCAGGCCAGAAGAGGGCACCAGACCTCATTACAGATGGTTGTTAGCCACCATGTGGTTGCTGGGAATTGAACTCAGGACCTTTGGAAGAGCAGGCAATGCTCTTAACCACTGAGCCATCTCTCCAGCCCACAGTGGCATACTTTGAACTGGAGATGAAGCTCGGTGGTAGAGCACTTACCTAACCTATAAGGTATAAGGCACCTGGGTTTAATCCCAAGAGCCTCGAAAAGAGATAAAAAAACAAGGGAGCCAGGCGGTGGTGGTGCACGCCTTTAATCCCAGCACTCAGGAGGCAGAGGCAGGCGGATCTCTGTGAGTTCGAGGCCAGCCTGGTCTACAAGAACTAGCTCCAGGACAGGCTCCAAAGCTACAGAGAAACCGTGTCTCAAAAAAACAAAACACACAAGGGGAAATTTTTCATTACACTATCAATCACAAGGTCCAACAATTTGGTGAAACCATTTTCCTACTAAAGAAATGAGTATATAACAATAAATACCCACATATTCAGCATCAGGGCAAGAAGCTATTTCTGTTTTAAGCAAATGACCAATGAATCCCAAGGACAAGAGCCAGAAGTTCTACCAAAGTAAAACACCAATGACTTGAAGCTATTTGTCCAACACAGCAACTATGCTTCAGCTGGGTATAGCAAAGCAGTGTTCCCCAAGTCTGCCATGAAAGGAGAGCAGCCCCAAATGCATTAACTGCTCTACAGAGAACACAGCTGAAGCAGAGGATACCCACACTTGCTGCAAAATGTGCTCTTAGAAGTCAAGGTAAGGCTACAAAAGAAAAGGAGTAGTCTCACTCTTGTCTTCAACTCTGAGCTGTGTCTTATCGGGGTCAATTCCAGCAATTAAAATAAGTCATTTAGTATACAAAAGAATTTATTACCTGAAGCATGGATTTTGGGTGAGGCAGATCTTCTCCTTGGTAAATTTTAATATATGCCTTAAAATAGAAACATAGAAGTAATCACAAAACACAATTCTAAAGTATTTTGCTCATGTTTTAAAATGGTGAGACCACACAACTGCATTTTCCTAAAATCCCTAGATCAACAATCAAGAATTAGCAGAAGCACGACACACTTCTGAGTGCATGTTAGCATTTTTAGTTATCTGAAAATTCTCTCAAGCAGCACAAGCCTACCAAGGCCAGGATTCCAATCAGGCCCCCATGCACAATGGTCTCACCAGGACCTGTGGGCAGAGACCATCACCTGGAGATAGCTGCACCCCACTTACACGCATCGCCTACTCACAGCAATCTCCTAACCACCTCCTGTTCACACCATCTTCCTTGAAGACACAGTAATGACTAAGAGAGTACAAAGAATATCATTTGGTTCTTATGACCATACTGCCACCCAGTGGCCCACTCCTCGAAGGACACTAACGTCGTAAAATGCCTCTGACCATCTCCCCAAGAAAACTACTAACATCAAAATCAATTTTACAAAACAAAACAAAAAAATCCTAAACTTAGAACTAAAATTTATATTTACCTTAAAATATTCCAACAGTCCTCGGCAAGTGACTTTTGAGCCATTGATCTCCTTTTCCATTAACTTAGATGGGTTTAGTACATATGGTATCAGTGCCTGCAACTGCTCTTTGAATTCACTTGCAATATCTATATACAAAAACATAAAAGAAAGAAACAGGAAGCCAAAATGAGTACAAAACAAAAACCTTGCAGAAAGGGGGTGAATAATGTGGGATTCCCCTCTGTATGCTATGAATATGTTTTATTACCATTGGTTAATAAAGAAGCGGCTTTGACCTATTATGGTAGGGTAGAATATAGGTAGGCAGAAAAACAAAACTGAACGCAGGCAGATGCCATGTAGCGCCAAAGGAGAAAGACTCCAGAAACCTTACTTGTAAGCCACAGCCTCGTGGCAATATATCGATTAATAGAAATGGGCTAACTTAAGATATAAGAGCTAGGAATACGCCTGGACCACTGGTCAACAGTGTTGTGTGATTGCAGCCTCCATTACAGGTGAAGACTATGTTTGCTATCCTTGGCTGCGGCCAGGCTGCTATCCTAGTGTACTTTTGTGCTCTCTCTTCCTGTCACATGTAAGTCCTTTCCAGTTCAGAACAGAATAAGGAGAATATCCTTATCTAGCCAGGCAATGCTGATGCACACCTTTAAACCCAGCACTTGTGAGTTCAAGGCCAGCCTGGACTACAGAGTGAGTTTCAAGACAGCCAAAGGTATACAGAGAAAAAAAATCGTTATCTTGGGTTTCAATTCTGGGATATTTGGTCTATTCCCTCGATTTTTTTTTTCTTTAAATATTTATTTATTTATTATGTATACAATATTCTATCTGTGTGCATGTCTGCAGACCAGAAGAGGGCACCAGACCTCATTACAGATGGTTGTGAGCCACCATGTGGTTGCCGGGAATTGAACTCATGACCTTTGGAAGAGCAGGCAATGCTCTTAACCACTGAGCCATCTCTCCAGCCCCTATTCCCTCAATTTTTAAGAAATTTCTTGGCCTGAGGGACAGAAAACTGACTATGAACCCAGCAGGTCTGGTTTCAAACTGCAATCCTCTTGCTTTTGCCTCCCAAGAAAGCATAACTTCTTAAAGAATTAAAAAAGGAACCAGGTGGTGGTGCTGTACACCTTTAATCCCAGCACACAAGAGGCAGAGGCAGGCAGAGCTCTGTGAATTCCAGGCCAGCCTGGTCTACAGAGTGAGTTCCAGAATAGCCAGGGATACACAGAGAAATCCTGTATCAAAAAAACAAAAACAAAACAAAGAATTAAATAAGGTTCAAAAACAAAGTAACTACTACACTTGCCCCATGCCCTTTCTGCACCCCACACTATCCCTTAAAATAAACAGGAAGTCATTATTTATTCCTTTGCCTCATTTTTGTTAAGATTTTGTCTTAAAAGATGCAGCTATTATTGCCTGGTGCTGTGACTCACACCTATAATCCCAGCAGAAGCAGGTGGAAGAGGATCAGGGGCTTAAGGCCAGCTTGGGCTATATAATGAATTTGAGACTTAAATGAGCTATAAATTGTCTCCCCCAAGAAAGTTGCTGGATGGTGGTGACACACGCCTTTAATCCCAGCATTACTGTGGCAGAAGCAGGTGGATCTCTGAGTTCAAGGCCAACCTGGTCTACAGAGCGAGTTCCAGGACCACCAGGGCTACACAGAGAAACCCCTTCTCAAAAAAAAAAAAAAAAAAAAAAAAAACAACTACACTCAAAGAGTGCCTCCTGCTATTTACTTCTAAGTATCTCATCAGTAGCTCCCAGGCCACCTTAATGTAAAAAGACTATTATGTCAGAAAACTGACTCTTTGTAGGTTGCACAAGGTTCTCAAAGCAGGTTCAGGGGATTTATCAAGCAGAGGTGCCCTTTCCTCAAAGTAAGAATAAACAGATCTGACTATGAAGATGTAGGAGAATTAATTATCAGAAATATCATTTATATAAATCTAATATCTTTATGAGGTTCCAACAGTCAAATGAAAATAAAGTTTTGCCCATTATCAAGATACTCTTCAGCACTCCATTAATTGTTGACAGAGACTGCACTTTCGTTTCCCAGCCACCCAGACCCAAATAATCACACAAAACTATATTAATTACAATACTGTTTGGCCAATGGCTCATGTGTATTCCTAGCTCTTACATCTTAAATTAACACATTTCTATTAATCTATGTATCACCACAATGCTGTGGCTTACAGGTAATGTTCTCGCATCTTTCTCCTTCGGCAGTAACATGGTGTCTCCTTGACTTTGCCTACTCTCTCTATCCTGTTCAGATTTTCAGCCTGGCTTTACTCTGCTAAGCCATTAGCCAAAACAGCTTTATTCACCAACCAATAAAAGCAACACATACACAGAAGGACACCCCACATCAATAAACCTAATTATAATATGAAAAAATGAACCCATTAAGTTTTAAGAAATAAAAAGGTAGGATGAATCATTAAGCTCATACTTAAGGGGTTAGAGAGGGCTCAACAGTTAAGAGAACTGGCTCCTCTTCTCCAGTTCCAGAGGACCCAACATCCTCTTCTAGCCTCTGCAGGAACTGCACTCATATAGTGCACAGACATATGTGCAAGCAAAACATGTAAACACATAAAAGTAAAAATAAAAAAATCTAAAAATCTGTACTTTAAATCCTATTCTGAAGAAAGTATAAAGTAGTGGACACACTATACTGTTCTACAGAAACTTACTTGCTTACATATGTTAAACTATAGACCTTTACAAAAAATGACATTTCATTAAGTACCTTTTAATTCTTTGGGGAATTTTTTTTTAAAAAAATGTGTGTGCGCATACAAGTGCATACCTGTTTGTGTGTAAGTCAGAAGACAACTTGTGGTAGTCATTCTCATTCTACCACGTGAGTCTAGGCTTGGAGGCCTTTATTTCCTGAGCTATCTCTCTGATCCTCTTTTTAAACGTGATAACATATTATCTATTTTTAACCATTTTATGCTTTCAACTTTCATTATACTGAAGGACTATTTAAAAAAACAAAGATTATTTCATGGACCCAAAAGGATGCAGACACCAAGATTTAAAGATCTCGGACTACTTATGCCTATTAAGGCAATTCCAAAATAACAACTTTCATATCATAGAAGAACTGTCTCAAGCTAGTCGGTCCAGTCACTCATGATGTCAAAAAAGACTAAGCCCTAGTGTCTGGTTAAGGAAACACATAAATAGCTTCTGTAGCGATCTCCCCGCTCCAGGGAATAGTTTTCTTTATGCTGATGACATAGTCATCCTCCATATAATGAAACAATGCCTCAAAAAAGCAGTTGACCCTCTACCAAAAGACACAGCAGCTTAGCTTCTATGACACCACAGCTTAGTTCCTTTTGACCTGAGATTACTACAATCATCATACTTGGCAGCAGGTGCCTTTCCCTTCTGAGTCACCCCCACACGGGTTCTACTTACAATCACAATGAAGTCCACCACGTGTGGTGCCAGATATGGTGGCACACAGCTACAACACTAGAACCTGGGAGGTTTAAGGCCATCCCTGGCTACCTAGAATGTTAGAGGCCAGCTTGGACTCTGTGTCTCCAAAATTTTTTTAAAAATTGTGTGACTTTCAGGTCAGTGCTAGCCAAATAGTTATAAGTCATCTTTTTTCAGGTTAGCACTTATTCTTCACTGAAGCTGCTCAATAAAGCCAGGCTTAGAGGTATATGCTGGAAATCCCAGCACTAGGAAGCTGAGGTAAACAACTGAATTCAAGGTCAGCACGGACTACGTAACCAGTTCTAGGCCATCCAAGGACACAGTAAGAAATAATTTTTAAAAATATGGTTCTATCTTGAATGAGGGAACCAAATGGTTCCTAGTCATGAGACTGGAGATTGATTGCTTACACTAAATTTGCTGCTCCGTTTCATAAACATAAACAGTGTGAAACCACATACTTCCTGTTTAGTGACTAAACCATCCGCAAACTCTGTGTAGACAATGGAGTAAACATTTCTCCCCCTCCTAAGAAAGAAACCACTTTTTGGATCTTAAGTTCTCCTTATTAGAGAGAAGAGTACCAAAATGCTATTACCACAAGCTGAGCTGCGGCTTAGTTAAAAATGAAGAAGGTTCAAATACAGTATGGAGAAGATGAAGTCATTTTTATTCCAGTACTTGACAAAATACCCCAGTGAAGTTCAAATCTACCATTATACAAAAATAGGTCTCTCCAAGTGAGGTTATGTCTTCTCTACCAGGAGCAAATATATTAGGTAGAAACATGTAACATGTAAGAAAAGTGCTAGCAGCAGCATTATCATTTGAAAACCTTAATGTCTTCACCCATCTGATAAATACAGTTTATAGTTTAATCATTTAAATTAGCACTCCACAAATATACAAGTAATTTCATGATTATTTTGTGTATTTTATATACACAAACTCTGGTTTATCTTTATGTATTGGCAAGGATTTGTACACAACCATAAGTGTGTTTGTATTGGTTGTTTTATTGAATATACACAATAAGAAAGCATAAAAAAAAAGTGCCTCTTCCCCAAACACACACCCATCTGTAATCTCAGAATGTGACCTTACTTGGAAGGTGTCCCAGCAAACGTGATTCACTAAAATAAGGACTTAATATGGCTCTGAGGGGGGCCTTAAATTTATTGATGGGCTGGTAGGAAGAAGACGATACGAAGACAGCCATACGACAACAAAGAAATTCGAGGCACAACCATTGTCAAAGAATGTCAAGGATTGCCAGCACCTCCCAAGGGCCAGGAAAAAGGCATGGCAGAGGTTCTCCTCAGAGCCCCTGTAAGGAAGCAGCCACCACTCTACATGTCTGGCTTCCTGAACTGTAAAGGAACACATCTCTGTTGTTTTGAGCAGCCCACCTTGTAGTACCTTGTTAAAGTCAAGCATAGGAATGCAAACAATGTGCATCCCAGTAACAACACACCATCAAGTCACAGTCACACAACTTTTAAAAACTGTCTACTTTCTAAATAAAAATGTTAAAATGAAACTGAGTTTCAAAACTGAAGGCTTTGAAATATTAAAATGCCTTAAGATAGGAAAGGCCATTTTTCTATGCGTATACCTGGTAACCTGAGCTCCCCATGAGACAAGGCACAAAGTCACTCTGATCCATCCTCCTGAACTAGGTGTGGTAGAACACATCTGGAATCCCACCATTCAAGGAGTGGAAACAGGGGAATTGCTACAAGTTCAAAGCCAGGGTGGTCTACATATCAACTCCCAGGTAAGGCAAGGCTAAATAACAACAAACAAAAATCCAACAGCTTAGACTTTATAAAAATTCAGATAATCACGAAGCACCATAACACTGAAAGAACATTTCCAGCTGGGCACAGCAGTGTATATCTTAATCTCAGCAGTCAGAAGGCAGAGACAGGAAGAAAAGTACAAAGTTACTCTTGGCTACTAACTGAGTTTGATACCAGCCTGGGCTACATGAGATCCTGCCCTTTCAAAAAATAAAAAGGGAAAAAAAATATATATATATATATAATCACTATTTGCGTGTGCATACACACACACACACACACACACACACACACACACGCTGGAGAAATGGCTTAGTCGTTAGGCATAAGGATCCAGGTTCAGGTCTCAAAATCCACATGGAGGCACACAACAATCAATAACTCCAGTTCCAGAGGATCCAGAACACTTTTCTGAGCACTGCAGGCACCAGGCACACACATGGTGCACAAACAAACAAGCAGGCAAAATACTCATACACACAGAATAAATCTAAGAAAAAATGTTAAGTATCCATTTTTAGTTTATGTGTGTGTGGCTGCATGTACATATGTTATGTGTACTATGTCCATGCCAGTACCCAGCCAGGTCAGAAGAAGGCAGCAGATCCTCTGAAACTGAAGTTACAGACAGTTGTAAACTATCTGATGCAGGATGGGGGGGGGGGGGGGGCACGAACAGACAACAGACCCAAAGAGCACTCTTAACTACTGACATCTCTTTAGCCTTATGTCTGTACATTTTGACAGACAAATATATTATTCTTCTTAAATTAACTAAATAAAAAAATGAAAACTATGTATTTCATGTACACTGAGACTATTTTTAAAAGGCAAGTTGCCCTGGTAACTCAACAAATAAATATTCTCTAAAGACTTCCTTCAAACAACAATGAACGACTATTCCCATGGTACGGGCTTTAAGGCACCAGAATCAGGACGTGAACCTCTGCCCCACTGCTTTTAGCTGAGAACTTTGAGTGAGTTGCTTAACTTTCCTTGTTTTCACCAGCTTGAGATAAAAGAAATGATGTAACTTCATGGAATTACTGTGAACTTAGTTTGAAAGCACTTGGCACAACACTGGGAACACAAAGGGACTGTAAAGCTGGCAGCTACTATTATCAGAGTTTTAGGGAAAATTAAGAGACTCTGATCAGCCTATAAACAAACTGCTTAGCAAGTATAAACTGTGGGCCAGCCATCAGGTGACTCAAGGCCTCCAGGGATAAGGAACAAAATAAGATAATGGTACCCAAGCATCCTGGTTCTCTAACCCACCAAAAACTCAGCAATTCTGACATTAGCCCATGACCCAGCATCAGCTTTTGCTACAAACACAAGTAAGTTTAAACAGTAACTTGGCTGTCTATCGTGTACTTTTCCTGAGGAAGATAATTGTACTTGAAAAATACTGGATGTCTTGACTTTGTCTTCCTTTATTCAGCACTTTGATCTCTTGTAAGGTGGGAACCATAATATATCTCTTGGAAAGATCCCTGAAGAACATCATCTTATTTCCAGTTTGTGAAACAGGCAAAATCCTTCTGATGGTCACAGTAAGTCAGGAGCAAAATCTGAGTTAGACTAATGTTACTCTCTCTATGAAACCACATTTGTTATCATAACCATCCATTTGACTTATAATTGACACTGTTCATTATGGAATTCCAAAGATCAAATCATATGTACAGTAACAATGTCTGTAACACACCTTTCAATTTCCCATCAAAGTCAGGGCTTGTGGCCACCTGGAGCCCTGGATGTGGTAAGAGAAAACAGGTAACATCCGAGAAACATGAGTGAATATGATTTCGAACGTTCTGAATTTCTTCATGTTGATGTTCCTTCACCTGCCAAGGAAAATCAACAGATACCAGCTAAAAATAATTTGGTATTTGTCACTAGCAGCCACTAACATAAAGACAAAGGAAAGAAAACTTCCTGACTAACAGATCAGAGTGACCAATGGGAAGAGCCAGAACCCCCAAAGCAGTAAGTGTATGACCGTGCACTTTGTTCCCATAGCTAACAGAGAGCAGTTACTAAAGACTTGATTTTAAAGGGCATTGCACAACATTTAAGAAGAAGAGAAGCCTTGTTGGCCAGAAGGAGGATCCAATAAGCTAAGAGTGACTGACAAAAGTCTCCTGTGCTTCGGTTTTAGGAAACAGGCTAGGCTGGTTTATATATATATATGTACATATGCCAAAGCAAATAATAATGAATAAGAACAGAACTACAATTATAAACATGACATTCTAAAGGCACAAATAGAACCTGATCCAAATAACAACTGGAAATTATAATTATAATGGCCTTTTGCTCAGAGTTCCTCTATAGTACCTATATATCATATGCCCAGGCCCTTCAACTTTACCATGAAAAAAATACTGGGGCCAGAAAGATGGCTCAGCAAGGAAAGGTACTTGTCATCAAGTCTGCTGACCTAAGCCCGGTCCCTGAGACCCACAGGTGAAGAGAGAACTAACTCCTTCACATGAATACTGTAGTGCTCTCCTCTCTATCACACTTGCAAATATATACATGCAATTTTAAAATTTTAAACAAAATATATACTGGTTTATAATAATTATAAACCTTTTACAGAGTATCATTTTCAATAATATGCTTTAAACATAATAGTCAAATGGTGTAGGAGGTCTTCTGTTCATGTGTTGCTTTCATTGGTTAATGAATAAAGAAACTGCATTTTTGTGCCTAAAAGGGCAGAACTTAGGTAGGCGGAGAAGGCAGAACTGAATGCTGAGAAGGGTAGAGTAAGAGAAGTCATGGATCCTCTGCCTGAGATGGACACCAGTTAGAATCTCTGGTAAGCCACGGGCACGAGGCGATACACAGATTAATGGAAATGGGTTAAACTAATATTTAAGAGTTAGCCAATAAGAAGTTAGAGCTAATGGCCAAGCAGTGTTTTAATTAATACAGTTTCTGTGTGGTTATTTCGGGTGTAAGCTAGCCGGGTGGCCGGGACAAACAAGCGACCTGCTCCCTCCAACAGTCAAAAGCAAATGAGTAAGTTACTACTTTTAAGTAATTATTCAGATCTCCCACTTACCTGTAAACGCTTATCCAAAAATGCCATTCCTCCTTGCAGTCCATAGCTATATTCATAAGGAAAACTCCAGTCTCGAACCAAAAACATCAGAGTCTATTATGGAAGAAAAGAACAGAATTATAACTCTGTACAAGTGCATATTCAAGATTAATTAGCTATTACTGTAATACTTTAGCAGAAAGATTAGCAGAATCTTCTTCAAAGGGCATGCTGAAGGAGACCAGCCTGAGCTAAGTAACAAGAGTCAGTCTTTAAAAAAAAAAAAAATAACAGCAAAACAAACTGTAGTTTATAGGTTATATTAAAAACAGACACATCTGCTGAACTGTGAACTAAACTGTGACTCTATAGTGCTTTACCTGGAAGGGTTTTTGGAAAATTTCATCCATTGCCAGACGTCCATATTCTGTGAAGAGCTTTAGAAGAGAAGAGTTAGTGGCTTGAAACTACTTTAAAATAGTTTTATAGTATTCTTTTGCAAAAATATTTGGGAGCTGGGCTGGTAAGACGGTTCAGTAGTTAAGAGCACTTATTCTTCCAGAGGACCTGGGTTTGATTCCTAGCACCCATATAGAGGCTCACAATCATTTATAACTCCAGTTCCAGGGCTATAACACTCTTCTGACCTCCATGGGCACCAGGCACATTCATACATGTAGGCAAAAACACTTATACACATAAATCTAAAAAAATGTAAATATTAATTTAGCTGGATGTGGTAGCCTTTAATCACCGTGAGCACTCCGACCACAGGGCAGGGGCATTACCATTTTGCGCACTGTTATCTCCAACAGCAAAAGTCCTGTTAGTACAGTAAATATCTACACCATTCAAATGGCAATGAATTCACTCAGATTAGGATTCCTGTATATATTTACCTGTTTCTTCATGAAGCCACAGTTAAGTATAATAAAAATGAAGCTTAACTGTCAAATTCACAGAACAAAGAGAACATGAAAGAATGTGACAGTACAAAGAACTTGTCACAAACAGGATGGGCAAAAAGAAACAGAGGACAAATGTCCAGTTCCAGCATTTTATGCCCTGCTAACAAATGGGAGGAAGCAAAAGGCCCAAGAAACAAAACATTCTCTTAGCAGAACTCTTAAAGAGCTGAAAAATGAAAAGGTGGGACTGACAACTAAAGAAATGTTTAGAAATCTGACCCTAGGTCCTACCCTCTACCAGAGAAATACAAGAGTAGTGTATGCAATCTTAACAAAAGTTTAGTCCGAGAAAATCATTCAGTGGGTAAAAGTCTGAGGACTCCAACCCAAATTCGAGCCCCAGAACCCACACAAAAAGTCAGATGTGGTAGTTTGCATCTATAATCCCAGCACTCATACAGCAAAATGGGATGGAGAGTCAGAACAAACTCCCAAAGCTCACAGGCCAGTTAGCTTAAGACACAGCAGCAAAAATGACAAGATAGAGTCTGTCTCAACAAGGAGGAACGTGAATATGGACTCCCAAATTAAGTTACACGTGTGTACCATGGCATGTAAACACACATGCACATACATACATACATACATTTTTTAAAAATCTAGACTTTAACATCAAACTTTGTAATGGAGTGTTGTTGGACATTGACCTAAGGTATACACATGATACGCAGTTGCTTTTCCACTTAACTACATCTCCAGCCTCCCTTATTTAACGTATTCATTTTGTGTGTGTGTGACCCCCTTTATGTGGATCAAAGGACAACTTTGTAGAATTGGTTCTCTGTTTCTACCCTGTGGGATTCAGGGATTGAATTTGTGACGTCAGGCCTACATGCAAACACCTTTACCCAGTGAACCATCTCACTGGCCCATCCCCACCCAACACTTTATTTTCAGCAATTCTGTAGAAAATATACCATTGAGTTTGCAGAGTATTTTGACAGTAGTCTTCAAAGTAGAATGAACGAACCACTATGCCTGTCCATTCATGTCTCTTTCACAGACCTGTGAAGGTAGCCAGATGGTGGTGGTGTACGCCTTTAATCCCAGCATTTGGGAGGCAGAGGCAGGTGGATCTCTCTGAGTTCGAGGCCAGCCTGGTCTACAAGAGCTAGTTCCACTCTAATCACAGCACTTGGGAGGGTAGAAGCAGGAAAATCACAAGTCCAAGACCATCTGGTCTCAAGACAAGGAAGACAAAAGAAAGACAGGTACAGAGTGGAAAATTACTACAACCAAAACCTCTGCCCTTAGTTCTAAATTTTCTGTTTTAAATGCTTCATTCACTTTCTTCCAGGGTTTTCATTCATTGTGGAGTTTTGTTTAACTTTTTTGTATTTATTTATTTGTGCACACACACACACACACCAATGCATATGTAGAGGTTAGAGGACAACTTTAAGGAGTTGGTTTTCTCTTACCAACATGTGGGTTCTAGGGATTTAACACTTCTACTGAGTCATCTCACCAGATCTCACCAGATCCATTTGTTTGTGACAGAGTTTCTCTGTGTAACAGCCTTGGCTGACCTAAAACTTGCTCTGTAGACCAGGCTGGCCTCAAAATCAGAAATCCACCTGCCTCTGCCTCTTGAGTGCTGGAATTAAAGGCATATGCCACCACCGCCCAGCTTATTCTTAAATTCTTTAAAATGATAATCATGATATTAAAGGCTGGCTGTAGTGGCACATGGCCTTAATCCCAGCTCTTTTGGAGGTTTAGGCAGGTGGATCTCTGTGAGTTCCAGGCCAGCCGGGGATACATAGCGAGATTCTATCTCAAAAAACAAAAAACAAAGAAAATTATGAGGAATATATATAGCTGTTTGCTTTTATTTCTTCTGTTTTTATATGTGTATGTTTTTGCTGTGTGTATAATATGTGTGTTATATGCATATGTACATGCTCATGTGTGTATATATGTGTGTGTGTTTGTGAGGTGCGTATGCATGCTAGTGCATGTGTATGGGAGACCAGAGGATGTCAGGTTTCTTTATACCATTCAACCTTAGTTTATGAAACACGATCTCTTACAGAACCTGGAACTATGCAGTTGTCTAGACTGGCCAGTGAACTCTAGATATTGTCCTATCTCCCTCTCCAACACTGGGGTTAGCATGCTGGAACTCACTGTGTAGACCAGCTTGGCCTCAAGCTTAGAGATAAAAGGTGTGAGCCACCACCCCTGGCTGTTCATTTTATGTGAGTGCTGGGGTCTCAAACTCAGGTCCTCATGCTTGCACAGCAGGAGCTTCAATGACTGAGCCTCTTTCCAGCACCACCCACCCACCCACTGCTATTTTCTCACATCCCTCCTCCTCCCTGGTCTCTTTCCTGTCCTCAGACAGTTCCCCCCTTCTGCTTTCATGTGTAGATTCCACAGGATAAAAAACACTTGATACTTCATCTTTCAGCCACTATTCCCATTACCCTTTCTTATTACCTGTAGCTGCTGAAGATCATCTTCCTGAATGTTCTGGGACAAATTGTAAATCTAGAAAACAAAATTCAGATTGATAGCATACTGGCTTACTTCAAACAAGTCCCCAATTAGCTTAGAATACTGGATGGATGGAGCTTTGTACAATTCAAGATTTGCATTTAAGCATATGAGGGCTATTTTTATATATAGCAGTATTATCAGTCTTTTAGGAAAAATAAGAACATAAGACTAAAATCCAAAAATTCCTTCTTTATAGTTTAAAACAGGTTAAGAGGTTTGAGATTTTTCTTGAAATGCTTTGTGTATATACTTATAAAAAAAAACTCATTTTGAGCTTAAAAGTTTAAGTTATGCATGTAGCTTATGTTGCCTAAATTTTAACAACTTGACACAATCCTGAAGTCACCTGAGAATCAGAAACCTCAACTAATTAACTTCCTCAAACAGACTGTCCTATGGCCATGATTAGAAGAGATTTTCTTCCTTTCTTTTCGAGATTTATTTTTTAATTTGTATGGTACTTTGTACAGGTATATGCACCACATGTATGCCTAGTGCCATGGATCCCTTGGAACTGGAGTTACACACAGTTATGAGCTGCCAAGTAGGTGCTGGGAATTGAACTCGGGTCCTCTAGAGGAGTAGACAGTGCTCTTAACTGCTGAGCCAGGAAGGATTCTCTTGATTGGTGACTGATATGGGAGGGTCCAGCCCACAGCAGGTGTTACCATCCCTAGTTAGGTAGGTCTGAAATTATACATATAAAAACTAGCTAAGCATGAGCAGGAAAAAGCCAATAAGCAGCATTCTCTTTAGATCCTGTCTCCAGATCTCCAAATGCCTGCCTTGAGCTCCTGCTGTCTTCTCTCAATGATGGATCGTGACCTAGAAGTGTAACCCAAATAAACCTTTTCTTCCCAAGTTGATTTTAATCAGAGTGGTTTATCACAATCACAGAGGAGCAAACTAGAACACAATCTAAAAAGAACTCTCGTATACAACACAAGACCTGTATTAACAGAAACAACTGACAGACTAGAGAGCTAGTGTAGAATAGTCAAGGTATTGTCAAGGTTGACCCAGCATTGTCAAAGTCCTAGGTTCAATCCCCAAAAGAAGGGAGGACGGAAGGGAAAGGGGAAGATGGGCAAAGGAAGGGAGCAGAGGAGGGGAGCTTACCTGAACAGAACTAGTCATGGTGCTTAGAGCAAAGATCGTAGCACAATCTTTCACAGTTGATTGGCTGTCAAATGCCCCCTGGGTATCCATCAGAACAACTGCAACCTTGAACAGGAAAGGAAAAGCAAAAAAATTAAAATGAAGAAAAGGAGAATGCAAAGAATAAAAGTGCACAGTTACCTGCTATCCCACCCTATAATCCCAGCACTTGAGAAGCTGAAACAAGAGGATAGTCATTATGCTCAAGATCAGTCTGGACAACATAAGGAGTTAGAGGCCAGCCTGGGTTATAGAATGAGATACCATCTTAAAAAAATAAAAAAGAAAAAAAATTTTAAGTAATATTTACATGAGCTACCCAACCCCTGCTTGTAGGTTCTATCAGAAAAATGCAATTAGGTGCCTTGCTAGGTGTCAGTATCTGCTCTGACCTGGTGAAATGCTACAAAACACAAGTACATGCAGCAACATAAAGATAAAATTATCCCACCAAAGAAAAATGTCAATGTCATAGCCAGCCACTTCTCACTATTCACCAGGCATTTCATGTTTTAATTTTTTTTTGTTTTGATTTTTTTTCTTTTTTTTTTTAAATTTATTTATTAAATATTTCTGTCTCTTCCCCACCTCCGCCTCCCCTTTCCCTCCCCCTCCCCCAATCATGTCCCCCTCCCTCGTCAGCCCAAAGAGCAAACAGTGCTCTCCGTCCCGTGGGAAGTCCAAGGAAAACCCTCCTCCATCCAGGTCTCGTAAGGTGAGCACATGTTTTAATATTTTTAATTAAATTATAAAATATTTGTTTATTGGGAATGTAAACTGGAATAACCACTATGAAAAGCACTGGCTTAAAAATTAAAAATAAAACAAATATGGTCCAGCTAACACTACTCACAGTCATACCAGAAGACTATGCTACCACAAATGTATCCATTGCTTCTCTATTCGCAGTAACAAAAGGAAATCAATTCATTTCGCAGTAAGAAATTCACCCCAGATAAGTAAATAAAAAATGCAGCACATGTAAACAAAAGAATTTTACAGCCTTAAAGAAAAACGTAACTCCCAATAAAGTGTACAGGAATGAAAAATAGTATATCGAGCAAGGTGACTCAGGCTCAGAAAAACAAACACCATGTTTTCTTTCATATGCAGATCCCAGTTTCTAATTTTTTAGGTAAGCCATAAATAATTATGTGGGTGAATGTGTAAAAGCCAAAAAGAAAAAAGGGAGGCTTTAATAGAGATGGGATTAAACCAGGAGTTGATGGTGAATACCTTTAATCCCAGCACTTGAGAGGCAGAGGCAGGCAGATCTCTGAGTTCAAGGTCAGCCTGGTCTAGAGCGTTCCAGGACAGCCAAGGCTGTTACACAGAGAAACCCTGTCTCAAAAAATAAATTAATTAATAAATTAAAAAAAAAAAAACACAGAGAAAGAGAGAGAGAGAGATGGGGTTACTAGAAAACATGTGATTTGAAAGTGGAAGGGAGAATACTGGGGCTGAAAAAAATTGTACGGAAACCCACTACTTTGTAAGCTAATTTATAATGATAAATAAGTCAGGGACTAGAGAGATGATCCAGTAGTTAAGCGCACTTGCTACTCTTCCAGAGGACCCAGGATCGATATGGTTGCTAACAACTGTCTATAATTCCAGGTACAGAGGATTTGATGTCCCCTTCTAGCCTTCATGAATATAATTTATATACATGGTACAGACATAGACATGGGCAAAACACCCACACACATAAAATAAAAAATTTTGTAAACTTTGGATTTGATTTAAATAGGTATTACTCCAAAGAAGTACAAATGGCTCTTAAGTACAGTACCTGAAAAATGTTCAATACCATTAGTCATTAGTAAAATACAAATTATAGTAGGTAATACAAAACCACGATGACTTACTACTTCATACATGCTATTCTGGATATTAAACACACACACACAGAGACATACACACACATACGCACGCACGCACGCGGAGCTAGACAGGAGATGGCTCCAGTCAGTTAAGTGCTTATCTTGTAAAATGAGTTTGTACTCCTCAGAACCCATATGAAAATCCTGCACTTCATGGTGTGCACTTATAATCCCAACACTAGGGAAGAAGACACAGGATCCCTGCAGCTCACTAACCAACAGTCTAGCCTAATTATTACTATATACAAACTAATACATGATAACTATATACCTAATTATAACTCCATGCCAATGAGAAACTGTCTCAAAAGAGAAAAATAACATTCTTAAGGATGACACCAAAGGCTAAGGCTCTCCTCTGGCCTCAATATATGTTTGTACACAAACACACATAATATATATTCACCAACACAGGAATACACACCCACAAATAGAGAGAGAGAGAGGTCTCAAGACAAAGGTAGTGGGGGTTACAAGGTTATCAAATAAGTTACTACACATATAAAGGATAAATAAGCCAAGCATATTGGTGCACACCTGTAATCCCAGGAATCAGGAGGCTAAGGTATCAAATTGGAAGCCAGTTTTGACTAAATATGATCTCATGCAAAAGGAAGAAAAATTAGTATCAGGGGCTGGAAAGAAATAGAAACTAGCGCCTCCTGTATTGTTAGTTATGCACACAGGTTGGTTAGAAGGTATTAGGCATCTTTTTTTAAAGTTAGTCACAGGGATTGGAGGTGGTTCAGTGGTTAGGGGCACTAGCTGCCCTTTCAGAGGACCTGAGTTTGATTCCCAGCCTCCACATATAGGGCTCACAACTGTTCAAAACACTGGTTCAGGAGATCTAATGCCCTCTTCTGGCTCCTGTAGGCACTGCACACACATGGTATACAGAAATAAATGCATGCAGAAATACCAATACATTAAAAAAAATAATAAAGTAAGTTAAAAAAATAATCAAGTTAGTCACAGAGTTGCCATGTGACACTGAAACACACACAGCATTTTCCCCAAGAAGCTCTTGCTGACGACTCAGTCCTCGGGTGCTGAATCTAACATTAAGAGGTGACTTCACTGTGAGGGCACTCACCCCATTAATGGTGACGCACTGATGAGTTCATATTGAATGAGGAAGTAAGTGACTCTGAGGCAAATGCCTGCCCTGGCCCCTCCTGTCTGTCTCCAGCTTCCTGTCCACGTGCGTGCTTTGCTCTGCCACGTGCTTCCCACCATGGTAGTCAACCCTGCCTCATCACAAGCCTCCTGACATGCTCAGCTTAGCCTCAGGTCCACAGCAATGAACAGCTGAGGATTACAATTTCTGAAGCTGTGACCAAAATAAACCTTTCCTCCCTTAAGTTGTGTATCTCAGGTATTTGTTACAGACACAAAAAGCAAACATATGGATATATACAAGAGCTTCGATCTTAGAAAAACTTGCACATAGATGTTTAAAGCAGGTATTTATTTATTTATTTATTTAAGACAGGGTTTCTCTGTAGCTTTGGAGCCTGTCCTGGAGCTAGCTCTTGTAGACCAGGCTGGCCTCGAACTCACAAAAATCTGCCTGCCTCTGCCTCCCGAGTGCAGAGATGAGATTAAAGGTGTTTGCCACCACCGCCCGGCAGCAGGTAGTATTTTTATAAGTTTTTAGATGTGTTTATTTTATTGTTTTGTATATATGACTATTTTGTTTGTATGTATGTTTGTGCACCACATATGTTGTATCCATTAAGGTTGAAAGAAGGTATTGGGACTATAATTACAGATGATTGTAAAATATCATGTGGGGGCTGGGAATTGAACCCAGGTCCTCTAAAAGAGCAGCAACAAATGCTCTTGAGCCACTGAGCCAACTCTCCAACTCTGGGTATTTTGCTTATTTTGAGAGAAGTTAATCTAGATAGGATCTCACACTGTAACCCAAGCTACCCTGAAACTCGTGTCTCAGCCTCCCAAGTACTAAGATTACGGGCATGTACAGGCAGCATTATTTATAATATACAAAAGGTATAAGCAGCCCAAATATTCACAACTGATGAATTAAAAAAAGAATGCTATTTTCATACAATGGAATATTGTTCAGTCATGAAAGGTAATAAAGAACTATTGAATACTCTAAGAGAATTAAGCTGAATGAATAAGGGCAGACCCAAAAAAATCATTTCACTTGTATCATATGCTCAGAACAGACAGCTCCATAGAGATGCTAGAGATGTAACTGAGAGCTAGAACATTTGCCTGACATACACACAACACTATGTTCAATCCCCAATACCAGAAAAGGAAGGCAGGGAAGAGAGAAGACAGAAAAGGAGAGAAAGGAAGGTGAATGCAAACACACCTAGTTCTCCATCCAGCTGTGCTTCCTAACAGCTCAGGCAATAGTGAATTAGAGACAAGGAGCTGGAAGGAGCTGGAAATGGAGAGTGACTGTTACCAATACCAGAGGCTCCTCTGAGGCAATGAAATGTTCTAGAGTCAGATGGGGCTGATAACTGTTTAGCTTTATGTATACACTAAAAACCACTGAATCAGGATGAATTCTGAATCAGTTTGATATCCCAATTGAACAAAAGTTTACTGTCACACATGTCTGCTAGTTAGAAAAATAAGACTAAAGAGGAAACAAGGGGGGCTGGAGAGATGGCTCAGTGGTTAAGCGCATTGCCTGCTCTTCCAAAGGTCCTGAGTTCAGTTCCCAGCAACCACATGGTGGCTCACAACCATCTGTGGAGAGGTCTGGCGCCCTCTTCTGGCCTTCAGGCATATACACAGACAGAATGTTGGATACATAATAAATATTAAAAAAAAAAAAAAAAGAGGAAACAAGGGGACATATTGGAAGCTCTCTGAAGAACAGAAGCTACATGTGTACTCATCACTGAGAGGAATGGTCTCACAGCACACAGTAGCACAGTAAACTTCCAAATCACTTTGTTGCTTTTGAAACAGTATCCCACACTTTATAGCCCATATTGGCCTCAAATTGTGCCAATCTTCCTACCTCAGCCTCTCGAGTGTAGGGATTATATTGCATGGCATAAGTCACCATGCCTTGCTCTTTTATGTACATATTAAGAAGCCCAAGCTGGCCTAAGTGGTTGCCATCCCACCTTAGCCACCAGTGCTGAGACTATAGGTACCAACAGCACATACAGCTCTAACCATAGTTTTCTTTTGTTTTACAATACTTTTTTTTTTAACAGCAGAGTGTCTTTCTCATTAAAGGAATTCAAAGATGGAAGGGAGGTTTGAGTGAGTAATGTTTTACAAAGCAAACATTTTTATTATAAAATATATACTGACACCTCCCTAAATCAAGCTTTCTACTTAGTAAAGGATGAGTAAACTGTAGGATCTACTGTCAAAAGCTCAACAGAAAAGCAATAAAAGGATCAAAATTATTCTCTAATTGGATTAACACAGAATATGTTAAAGTTCTCATCTAGAGCTAACCAAGCATGGCAGTATGCACCCACATCCTATCTCAAGAAAAAATAAATGTAAGTTCTCATTTGGTTATTCTGTTGTAACATCTAAGTCTTTTTCTTTATTTCTTCCTTCCTTTCCTTCTCTCCTTTTTATTTTTAACATCCTTACCTTTTTCCCACCTGGCTTCTCCACTGTGAAAACTTCACTCCAAATCTGAATCCCAGTGGTTTCTGGGTCAGAGCCTCCTCGCCATGAAAATCCTGTCAGTGGTTCTTCTGGGTCACCCAACCAATTTGAATGACCACCTTCTTTCTACAGGAAAAACAAGATGTTCCATCACATTTTGGTTTTGCTTTCTGAGGCACTGGGGATAAAATACAGGGCCTCCTCACACATGCTAGGCAGGCACTTTACCATTAGACTACATACTCAGACCCCTCACCAAATCTTAAGCAATTTTAGCTCATGAGCTTATTTTGCTCACTTTGTACTTTGAAATAAGCTAATTCTTTCTTACCTGAGAATACAGGTATCGCAGCATAAAGTCCAGAATGAAGGATTTGCCTTTTCTAAAGGCACCAGCCACTGATACTACCACCACATCAAGATCTCGGATGTGGTCCTGCAGGAGGATGCTGGCCAAGGCTCTCTCTTCTAGCTCAAAAGAATGTTGCTCTTTGTGAACCAAAACAACCTGCACTGGACCAGGTTGTCCACTTTCCATGGCATCACCTGTGCTCATTTAGAGACCAAAAGAAATTAAGTTATACACACACACCATGAAGAGAACAAAAGCTTTAACAAGACACATCTATAATAACCATGAAGCTGGAGTATACAGGGATACTAACAGAACTCCATTAACACTAATAAATATACAAACACACACACACACACACACAAATGAATATAACATTTTTTAATTAAAAGGTCCCAGAGTTGGGAGATGGTGGCACACACCTTTAATCCCAGCAGAGGCAGAGGCAGGCAGATCTTTGTGAGTTCAAGGCCAGCCTGGTCTACAAGAGCTAGTTCCAGGTCAGGCTCCAAAGCTGCAGAAAAACCCTGTCTCGAAATACCAAAAAAAAAGGAAGCAAGCAAGAAAGCAAGCATGGGTATTCCTCCATGGCTATGCATCAGCTCTGCCTCCAGGTTCTTGCCCTGCTTGAGTTTCTGCCCTGACTTCGATGATAAACTATGACATGCAAGCTTACGCCAAATAAACCTTTTCCTCCTAAGTTCCTTTGGTCATAGTGTTTCATTATAGAAACAGTAACTGGGGCTGGAGAGATGGCTCAGCAGTTAAGAGCACTGGCTGTTCTTCCAGAGGATCCAGGTTCAGTTCCCAGCACCCACATGGTAATCCACAACTGTCTATAACTCCTGTTTCAGGAGGTCTATGCCCTCACAGACATACATACAGGCAAAATACCAATATACATAAAATAAAAATAATAAATTATAAAAAAACAACAGAAACAATAACCCTAAGATACCTATGTATACAATTCTGCCTAATTTGCACTAACACTCTGGGTAAAGGCTCTCCAGTTATGACCTATCAGAAGGAGGAGCACTCACACCCCTGTAAGAAGTCCTTCACCTGTGTTCTATGGGGAAGCCCAAAAAACTCACTGGTTCCCCAGGATGTATGTACTTTGACAGAATTGTGCCTTGGTTTGTGCTTGAGCAATTAGGAAAAGAGGTAGACAGAGAGTGTTTATGAGATAGAATTTTAATGTGTCATTGTTGTCTAATTCATGCCCTTCCCCTATGTAAGTTTTAGCAGGACATTAACCACCCAAAAGAAACACATTTCCAAACCAATTTGTGATCATGTTACACATGAAAGTTTTGATCAATAGACTATGACTGAAAAAAAGAAAAAAAAAAAGCAACTTCCAGATTAAGCATTTTCCCCTTCTGACTGGAGAAATGGAAGTGAGTCACCGAGGGCCAAGCACAGGAAGGCAACACCCTAAGGCACTGGCACAACAAGCGAAGCAGGGCCTGAGCTTTGTGCAGAAGTGCCCTGCCAGTTCACTTTTATGGGAGAGAAAGATGTCTATCTTGTTTCACTTAGTAACATAGCAACTTTCACATACAACCAAACCAAGTAACCAATACAAGTCTCCCAAGATCTTATTACTAAGTTTATACACTGGAACTTTCAATTTCATCTATTATTCTATTACAGCTTGATTGAACAATGAGAATGACACATGGCAAACACAGTAATTCTCAAATGAGTGGATGTATGCAGTATAACACAGTCTAAAGCGGTGATCCTAAGGATGCTGGTGGGACTATCAGCCAAAAGTCATAAAAGATAAGTACAGGCTACAGGCAAGATGAAATAATCCAATGACAAAAAGGTTAACCACAAGGAACTGCACTTCAAGAATAGCTAGACACTGCTGGGGACATAGGGAAGAAAAGGAAAGCTGTTACTCATCTGTTCCTCTCTTGGTTTCTACAACACATTAAGCAAGAGTAAAGGAAAACAGGTTATATTAGTGTGGGAGCTGGGGTAATGCTGCATGTCCCTTCATCAGGAATATAAGTAGTCATTAACAAACAACGTGGCTGAAAGGGACCTTGTTCACTAACAGTGTCTCTTTGATTTGGGCCATGAAAATGAAAAAATCATTTTGAAATGTATGCATCACCAACAAATAAATTTATAGATATTAGGCACACCATTTTTTACCATACTATCACCATCCTGCTTCCCTAAAGACAAGAGGGTTTATTACTGATTTCCCAAGCAAAACCGTCATTTTCACTCATCCCAGATAAAGGGTCTTTGCTGATTTATGTTGGACTCCTTAAGCAAAACCTTAGGGTCTGAGTCTATCTCAGCAGTGGTGTATGTATTTCTCTAGGGAACTTAGGGTAAATAGCACTGAACAGAGAGAAAAAAAATGTTTCCTAGAGGACATTGGGAAAAAATAAAACATGAAACCTTAGGGTCTTGTCCCTTACAAGCATGTCTTTTCCCTTTTCAGCCTAGCCTAGTCTTTGTCTCTGACTGTTCCTTTGACTACATCATTACCTCATCCCTTGGGGCTCAAGTCCTGTACTTCTTTACATATTAAGAATATCATAGCCAGAAGTATTGGCACACACCTTTAATCCCAGCACTCAGGAGGCAGAAGCAATCATATCTCTAAGTTCAAGACCAGCCTGGCCAGTGAGTTCCAGGACAATCAGGGCTACACAGAGAAACCCTATTTTGAAAAACCAAAAACTAGCCAGGCAGTGGTGGTGCAAGCCTTTAGTTTCAGTACTCAGAAGGCAGAGGCAGGTAGATCTCTGTGAGTTTGAGGACAGCCTGGTCTAGAGACCTAGTTCTAGGACAGTCAAGGTTACACAAAGAAACCCTGGCTACACATAGAAACCCTGTCCTGAAAAGAACAAGAGAGAGAGAGAGAATATGTCATGAAGACAGCCACCTTAAACACTATCAAAATTGCAAGGTATAGGGATGCAGCTCAGTGCGGAGGCCTGCCTAGTATGCACAAAGCCCCGTGTTCCAACCCTAGCAACACAAAAATACAAAATCAAACATCGATGGACTGGCAGCTCAAAAGTGTTTCCATCCTGTAAGTCAAAACCTTCCACTATTCCCCATACTGTCTTGCTTGAAAATTTTATTCTCACTGGTATTTCTACAGGGAGGAAGCTCGGGCTCAAGTCCTATCTTGTCCTGCCTTAATCCCACAATTTCAAGTAGATGACCTATGCAGCCATTTATCCCATGGCCTGAAATCCTTCTTGCTCTTTACTCAGACTTCAACACTCACCTCACCTTGTCTGGATCGCCACCCCACCCTCTTGAGTACTTAGTTTTAATTTTCTGTTTCATTTATTATTTGTGTGTGTATGTGTGCATGTACATATGTGCTTGCACTGGTGCTTGGGTTCATGTGTAGACATGAGAGGAAAACTTGTAAGGCTTAGTTCTCTTTCCACCAGGTAGGTCCCAAGGACTTAACTCAAGATAACAGGCTTAGCAGCAAGCACTTTTACCTGAGAGTGATCTTACCTGCCCTGCTTTACATAGTATGATAAAATGAATAAAATTAGGCTTTAGCATCAAGACAGAGCAAGGCATGAATTTTGGCTTTATCCACATCCAAAACATAAGTTCTATGAAGGCAGGAATTTTTGTATTTTGTTCAATGCTATATCCTTCAAGTTCTCAGATCAAACCCCACAAGCAGCAGCCAACAAAAAATTGTGGCATAGCCAGGTGGTGGTGGCATACGCCTTTAATCCCAGCACTTAGGAGGCAAAGGGCAGGAGGATCTCTGTGAGTTTGAGGCCAGCCTGGTCTACAAGAGCTGTTCCAGGACAGGCTCCAAAACTACAGAGAAACCCTGTCTTGAAAAAAAAACAAAAACAAAAAACTGTGGCATAAACAAAACCTATGACTTTGTCTCAATATAACTCTAGAAAACATAAAGCCACTCCAGTCTCCATTTGTAAACCTAATACCTAGCTGAACAGAGGAAGAGTCAGAAGAACTGTGGATTCAAACCCAAACTAGGCTACAGTAACAATTCAAATTCAGTATGGCCTATATAGGGAGATGCTATCTCAAAAACAAAAGCAAAACAAAACAATCTTCTGGATAGTGGTAGTGTTTGCCTTTGGGGCAGAAGCAGGAAGATCTCTGTGAGTTCTAAGCCAGCTGGTCTACAGAACCCAGGACAGCCTGGGTTATACAGAGAAACCCTGTCTTAAAAAATAAAAAAAAAATCTAAAGACTAAAATATAGCACCTGACAATATAAGGTGCTCAATAAACAGTTTCCCTTCCCACGTTGTTTCCATTGAGATATGCACAAAGTATTACTCCATTCATTACAATATTGTCATACTATAATTAAGAGTTACCAGCCAAGGGATGGTTAACACATACCTGCAAATTCCAAAACTCAAAAAACATAGGCAAGGAATCAAGCATTTTAGGCCAGCTTCAGAAACAAAGGAAGACAAAAGGTACCCTGGACAACATGAGAGCCTCACAAATAAAAGATACAGCAACCAGATTGGGAACTATTGCCTGGTAATCCTAGAACAAGGGAGAACTGAAAATTTGAGGTAAGCCTAGGCTATATTAAGAGCCTGTCTCACCCGCCTCTCTTGTAGAGGGTAAAAAAGAAAGGCAAATTAAAGCTTCAAGACACATCCTAGTACCCTTTCAGGTCCTTTGGCAGCTCCCTGCAGAAGTTCTTTTCTTTCCTCTCCCTTAGTGACTGTTTTTATACCAATGCTTTTCTGTAACTTCTTGTGGTTCTTACTCTCTCAACAAACTTTTCTGAGAGGGATAGGTCTCAAAATCACAAGGCAGCCAAGGCTGACCTTGAACTCCTAACCCCTCTGCCTCCCAAGTCTAAGTTTACAGGATAACCAAAGTGGCCAGCTTAATGAGCTCTTTATTCTATAATTCCAACTCCATACTCAATTTTTAAACTTTTTCTACCCTGTATTTTGACGTTCTAACTCCCCTACTCTCTAACCTATACTGAGGAGACATGTACAAAAGGCTCAGTACAGAGTCACTAGATGTTCAACTCATATGAAACGGTTATGTGGAAACACACTGACCTGAAAAGTCAGGAGACAAGTCCTTATTCCAGTTCTGCCACTTAGCCTATGTGATTTGGCAGGTTTGCCTCCAGTCTCCTTTCAAAATCCCCCATGGTAATTTTACAAGTCTACACT